ACTGTGCATGGCACGAGGAGATGGAAGTAAAATTTAACTGACTTTTATTATTCTCTAGTCACCAACAATGATGGATAGTGCATACCATTGTTTTTGTCATACAAGTTGTACTGGTTTGATCAGGTTTCCTTGCGGATAAGCAAACGTTCAAGTGTGTGGGGGTTTGATTCAGGTTAGATTACACCCTTTTGTACCCCTTTATTTGCAACGTTTGATGTATTTGCACCATCCTTGGAGCTAGTTTATGCGGTGTTTGTTCGCATTTTAGTTATGTTTTAGACCTTAGCCTGCAATATTGGTACAAGGACGAAATTCATACAAAAGAAGTCGAAAAGGGAACAAAATGGCTGAAAATGCAGATATCACGGTTGCATAGCAAATTTCCCGGGCGTGAATTGTGAAATGCACAAGAAAACCGTGAAGATTGCACTACGACAGGAGGATTCGTATGGCTTCAAGGCAATGTTAGATCACGGTCTCCAAACCGTGATGTCAACAAGCAGCCCGTGAAGTTCGTTAGTGAAGTAGAGCATTTTGCGCCAAGATTACGGTTTCACTAACGACTTCAGTGGCGTGATGTGAGACCATGACTTGTGCACTCGAGACCTAAATAAAGTAGAGTTGGCTGCTTTGAAAGGAAATAGCCCTAGAGAGAGATTGGAGCTTCTTCTTCGAGGTTTAGAGAGAGAGAGATACAAGGTAAGAAGGAAGGAATGAGAATTTCACCTATCCAAGGCTAGAGGAAGATTGATTTCTTCTCCAAAGGTTGAATCAAGCATCTAAGAAGAAGGCGGATCAACTTGAATTGGGTTTTTCTTCTATCATATTTGTATTTTCTCCTCTAGCTATGGAGTAATCTCCAATTTCACTTGGATGTTGTGAATCCTAGTGTAGGATGTGTTAGATTGTATAAATTTAACTCTATGTGTGTTTGGTTGGTTATTTATATAATGATTGAGGTATTATTCGTGGAACTTGTGTGTTTTTTTTTTATCATATCTCTCAAATTAGAGCCAAATTGATCTAGAAGGAGGAAATATCCTTATAGCTCATTCTTGGCAATTCAGATTACCTTCTCTAGCGCAATTCGGGTCATCCCTCGATCATCAAAGTAGTGCCATGATTTCGTCTTCATTTGTTACTTTTCGCCGTTCGGGATTAACTTATGAGGGAGTGGTTTTGCAATCCTTATTCAATCGATTAAGAGAGTTAGGGTTTCCTAGCCAATTGTGACATGCTCGCAGTATATGATATACTTATGACACTAGAGCTTCATTCGTTGTATCTTGACACAAGACTAGGGGAGCAATGTCTGAGGGATTCTTTCTCAATCGAATTCACCAAAGTTCAAGTACAAATTGCTTGGTGTTAACACTAGCTCCAGCCAATAAGAACATTTCGTTTGGATAACTTTTTCATTAAAATGAGTTGACCACAATTAATGAAGGAAAAATGAATGAGGGGCACGCTAATCATTAATAAAAATTGGGGGAAGAGAAGGGGGGACCAGCCCTCCTTTTTGCAGTAAATATAAGGAAGGGAAGGGGATCACAAAAGTAGGCTAGAAACTCTACGAAGGAAGCCAGAACCTCCACAAAGGAAGCCAGAACCTCAAAGTAGGCTAGAACCTCCACAAAGTAGACCAGAACCTCAAAGTAGGCCAGAACCTCCTAATAGTAGGCCAGAACCTTAAAGTAGGTTGTAGGCCAGAAGTTTCTTAGTAGTTGACCTGTTTGTAAATTTTTAAAAGTTTAGATACCAAAACGAAAGCAATAAAATTTCAGGTACTAAAATGTAATTTCCATTGATTTTTTATTACGACTGAAATGTTAAGATTAATTTTTTATACTAAATATTAATATCTATTAAGTTTGGGTACCAAAACAATTATTTGTAAATGAATCATGAAAAGCAACGTGAATGGAAGGGGGAGGAGAAGGAGAAGGGGAAGGGAGAAGAGATATTGCTATAATATCCTTATAGTAACTGCTAACACTTAAGAGTGTTAGCACCCTATCCACTCCCTGGATTTTATCAAAAGTGTACTTAAAATTTTGTAATCGCTTAATACTTTATGTAATTAATATTAAATGATCTCCTATTACGTATGGCGTACGTAATGATATTTTACAACTGTTACGTAAAATAAATATACGTTACGTAAAGGTTAGGGAACAATATTATATCTTATGTAACAGTTAAATTATAAGTGTTTGCAAGACTTTCGTAATGACTTAATACTTTATGTAAAATATGGTATTAATATTTATTACATAAATGACCTTTCATTGCGTAATGATATTTTACGACCATTAAGTAAAATACACATCAATTACATCAATTACGTAAATTTTATGGAATGATAGTTGTCTCTTGCATAACAGTTTAAATAAGAAGTGTTACGTAAACCTTCTATAATTACGTAATACTTTATGTAACACATGATTAATGTTCATTAAGTATAAGAACCACCCATTCCGTAAGGATTATGTAATAATGCAGTTATCTCTTATGCGTAATAATGCAGTTATCTCTTATGTATTAGTACTTAAACTTCGATTACGTAAGACTTGCGAAATGATTTGCAACTTATTAACACGATATTTATATTCATTGCCTTAAAAGATTGCATATCATGTAACACTTACGTAACACTGTTTTAAAAATGCTATGTGATAAACATACACTACAAAAAAGAGGAGGTTATGGGACGACAAAAATCGTCCCTATAGTTTTTAGGTACGACTTAGTCATCCCCAATCTGTGGTTCCCTATACTCTTGTCCTCTATCTTATGGGTACGACAAAAATCTAGGTCGTCCCCAATACTAGGGATGATAGTCGTCCCCAATACTCACAAGTCGTCGTCTCGTTTCTTTTAAATGAAAGACAACATGTCGTCCCTATAGCTATAACTTTAGCAACAATAAGTCGTCCCCTAAACATCATTTCCAGGGACAAACAGTTGTCCCACATAATCGATTTCCTGATTGTGTTGGGCCTATTAGAGGATAATATGTCGTCCCCTTTTCTTGTTATAGGGTCGACATGTTGTTCCTATAGGTATCGAATTGGAGTCCAAAAATCGTCTCCAAAAGGTTCTTTCAAGGACTACGAGTTGTCTCTTATACTATATCTTTAGAGACGACAAGTTGTCCCTTATGAATTTTAGGGATGACCAATTGTCCTTTAACTTGTGTATTTGGGGACGAGGAGTTGTCACTTATGCACCTTCTGAAAAACTAATTGTCTCCTATGTAACTTGTATGAACGACTTGTTGTCCTTTAGCACATGTCTTTGGGGACAACTAATTGTTACCTGCATCACTTATGAGGACGATAAATTGTCCCTTAACCTGCATTTCTGGGGACGCCTAATTGTCACCTATTTAATTGGTAGGGACGACTAGTTGTCTTTAATCTTTGTCTTTCGGGATGACTAATTGTCACTAATCTTTGGGAATAAGAGACTGTCACATTTGAAAGTTGTGGGTCGATCATATATCCCCTCACCAATATAGCAAAATATCATAAAGTATAAAAGGGATATTTATTCTCTAAATAAATTATAAAAAAATAACACACATCACACAAAAAATTTCGGTACAAACTGAACTTGTACGTTCAACGTACCTATATCATTTTGCACAACTTCTTATATGACAGAAATTAAATTTATACTTTTATATGATACAAATCGAGCTTATACCATAACATAAAGATACAAATTATAGTTATACCTTAATTTGTACCTTTGAAGCACTCTTTAAATATAGTAAAAGGGCTATTGATTCTTGAAATAAAGTATACAAAATAACTCATAGCACACAAAAGAACTCAATGGTCCTACCGAAATGGAATCTCAATTTTAATGAGTTCTTCGTGAATAGTAAATCGACTTCAACTTTTCTATCCTTTCCTCTTTGAGAAGGATGGCCTGATTTATAAATAAATTTACAGGTTTAAAAAAATCGACTTCAACTTTATATATTGATAAATTAATTAATATTAATAAAATTAAATGAAAGAGAACGAGGGAGACGGAAGGTTTATGTGTTCCTTTTGGATTGGGGACAAGAAACGTGTAACCCTTATTAACTAATAATATACAATTTAAATTCCGAAAAAATTAAGAAAATAATAATGAAAGCTGGCGGCTCTCCTTATTATTAACCTTTGGGTAGTAAATTTATAGCCGTCTTTGGGTTGGGGACGACAAAATATATCCCCCCAATATATGATTTCCGGGCTCTTCTATATCCTGGGACCATTTTATAAAATTGTCCCCAATATCACTAAGATTTGAATTTCCGAAGACAAACTAAATTACTTGTCCCCTATTATTGCCCCCAAACCTCCTCAATTTTGTGGTGATACAGGTTTAAAAACATTATGTAATGACTAGTATAATGGGATATTTAAACATAAATATAACAAACAAGGGATTGGTCTAATTGATAATACTATTAAGTTTGAACTTGGAGGTCGTAGGTTCAAATCATTTAAAAGTATCTATATTGCAAAAAAAAAAAATTATAACACTCTTGTAAAAAAAACCCTTATTAAAAAAACTGTGCTATAGCAAGTAAAAAAAATCTAAGTTACTTTACTTGAAAACACCATAGGAATTCCTTGTATAACTAATTGGGGATTAGGAGTTGAATGAGCATTGAGATGGACGTTGTTTGTCCACTTGTATATAATCTGGGTTGTCAAGTTGGCCGTAACTTTCCTTGATGTTGGCGATCGTCTACTGTTGGCCAAATAATATTTTGTCGGGAGATGGTTTTATTGTCTAATGATCGATGCGGTTTTGGCGATTGCGACGCTGCAACTAATGTCAACAGTTGACAATCGCGAACATCAAGACCAACTTTGAGAAGCCAGCTGATTATAAACAAATACAAGTGGACAAACAACGTCCATCTCGTTGGTCAATATTGAACCCCGGCCCAGTCTCCAATTAAGTTATATATACCCAGCTTCTGGAGTACCAACTCATTGCCAATAATTAAGCTAAGCTAGCTAGGATCATCATTGAAGCTGAGCAATGGCGACGATTGCTGAAGAGGTGATCGGCCACCGGCCGAAAGCACGGTCTCTGAAGGGAATGACTGCCCTTGTCACCGGCGGAACACGAGGCATAGGGTGAGCATCGCCACATCCTTCATTCCATAATAATATAATTAGGAGGAAAATATGCACATATATATATGATGGTGCATTATTTAATTTGCAGGCAGGCCATTGTGGAGGAGTTGGCCGGCGATGGGGCGGCAGTCCACACTTGTTCTCGCACCCAAGCGGACCTGGACCGCTGCCTACAACACTGGCACACCAAAGGCTACAGGGTTACGGGTTCGGTCTGTGACGTCCTACATCCAGACCAGCGGCTGAGCCTTATGGAATCTGTCTCCTCTCTCTTTGGTGGAAAGCTCAATATCCTTGTAAGCTTCCTCCCCTCAATATACAGGGCTGTGTTAGACAAGATCTGGCCAAAAGCAAACAAAAAATGAGGAACATATAGAATTAGGTCAAACTTATGTTTGATTTATTTAGTTGGATTTCGTGCGGCACAAATTCAATTTTGGTTCATTGTTCTTCATCTTAAAATAAGTCAGTAGAATCAAAATAGAATCGATATATATATATATATATATTTAATCATATTCGATTAAGTATCTGGTATGCATCGGATCGTTACACCGCCCTAATTATTTATTTTTTATAGTTATTAGTATAATATGTTCCTCTATTATGTATTTTTATCAAAAATATTATTCTATTATTTTTAAATCAAAGATATAATCTATAGTTTAGAAAATTCATTAAACATTCCATTATGTTAAAATTCTCGTTCAAAAAGCATCCACTACAGTCAACCGTAGTACGGATGACCTGGCCGCAACGGAAGGAAAATTGTATGTTTTTCCATTTCATGTATTCGCTAAATAGCTAAATCTCGCCCTAACTTCAACCCGGAAATTACATAACCGTCTACGCACAAATAAAAACAAAAAGCACAAATCAACCTTTCCTAAAAAAATTTCACCCCTCTGCCGTCGATGTGGCCCCCCTGCATCTACCCAATCCGGCCGCCAACGACTTCCTCCTCTAGTATATGCATGAGTTCAGATGACAGTTGACCGATGTTGACCCTCCTCCCCGCCGGCTTCTTCCCAGTTGTCCGGCGCCTACACTTCTCCCCCAAATCATCATTTTATGTGATCGGCAAAACCCTTCTTCTCTCGTATTGTGGTGATGCAAAAGGGGTTTCAAGGAGGATCTTCGTGCAACTAAGCGGGAGTCAGGTCATAAATACTATTAATGCTTATAATGGGGATGAATAATTAACAGAATTTGAGAAAAATTGTATACACTGGTTTCCCTTTTCCATGGTGGCCGAAGGTGGGTAACGGTGCCGGCGGAGGGTAGCAGTGAATTATTCTTCATATTATTTTATTGTTTGGAAGATTGTGTTTTTTTTAAATTAAAATATATTTCCATTATAAAAAATAAAGGATAAAGAGGTAATTTTAATTTTTAATTTAGGGCGATTATAGTAAAACTTAGGGCGATAATTATCAATCCCTTCATTCGTACATACAGTTTTGGTAAGGATCAAATTTGGTTCACAACCAAAACAATTGAACTACTAGTCTTATGCCCGCCAGATGGGCAGTATATATTTTCTTGTGTTTTTTGTTATTATTTGTCATTTTTCTTCTGGAATATACTTATATTGAGTTCTTACTGCTCTTTACATTTATTTGAGATCAAGCTCCCTATGAGCCAAAGGGAGATTTCCACATTATAGGTTAATTTGACCAATAATGAGATAATGCAAGCAACACTCAATCATTCATGATTAATACCTCAAATATTATATAGAACACACAATCAACACAATAGAATCATGTTCTTACATCCTAACACACATCTAGACGAGAATTCACAATACCCAAGTGAGTAGGTAGGCTATTCCATAGTTGGGCAAATGAAATCAACAAAAAGGTGAGAAAGAACCATGAAGAGATGAATATCTTCCTTCCTTGTTGCTTGAATCTCCATTGAGAAGAAGAAACCTTCAATCATTTAGCTTACAGCAAATCCAAATCTCCTTCTTCTTCCTTTGAATGGCAGCTTCTCTCTCTAGAATAGGAAGAAGAAACCTACTCTCTCACTAGAAACCCTCCTTTATTCTGAAAACTAAAACCCTAGAAAAAGCTCCACTTTCTATCTCCCAACAACCTTCTATTTATAGAGCCCGACAGTCACTTTTCACGGTCACTGTTCACGGTCGTGACATTGGAGCACAAACCGTGACATCGGATCAAAACATAAGTTACTAGTGCATTTTTGGTCCAACTTTACGGTCAACGGCAGATTGTCACGGTTAATAGACCATGAACACACTGAGGTCCCGCGAGGTGTGCAAAACTTCCTGTTTCCATCATACTTCACGTCCACTGGGTAATTGTCACAGTCAGGCAGACCCTGACAATCCTCACCGGACCGTGCAATCCTCACTCGACCGTGACAATTGGTTTTTCTTCTCTCTTTGCGCTTTTCGACCTCCAATCGACCCGAAACTCGTCCTTGACTCTCCCACACGTGCTAGGACATCGAATATGACAAAACAAGCAAAACCTAGCATGAAATATGTCGAGGGATGATGAAATGCACAGGCAAACTATCGAGAAATGAGGGGTAAAATGTGTACAATTGGCCCCGAATCAATAATCTAAATTATATTCCCAATGTGTGCGTATTTCAACTATGCAAAACTATTTCCTTCATTTCCTTTTGGAAGTGATTAGTTTATGCTTCATATTATGGTTAATAGCATTTTCTATCGTCCCAGTTAATGGCGACAGAATTTTAAACAGAAGGGTATTTTTGTTACGTTATGATATTAGAAGGGTACGTTTGTGCAAAAAAAATCGTTGAGGGCCATTTGTTAATTTACAATAGACAGGGGCACAAATTGCTATTAACTCATCATATTAATGTGTTTTACTTTTTCATTTAGCTTGGAGAGTGAATAATTGTAATCTATCATTTGAACTGTAGAGAAAGTATACAATGTGAATAATCCAATGAGGTGTAAAACATATAGAGGATAATAACTGTATGGTAAGTTAAAATACCTATTAATAGACAATTTCATACTACACCCACCCACTTTAAATGGCTCAAGATAGGGTGCAAAACCATGGGTTATGCACCAATCAATAACCAAATCTGGACCCTTTATTTAGAAAATTCAGACTTAAGGAATGAGAATTAAAGACCATTTTTATTTTTTCTAGCTTTCTTAATTGACTCATATCTTTTTTGTTTTAACTCGGATTTTAATTTTTTTTGCACAGATGGAACGAGTTCATCGTGCTCTACAAAATGAGATCAATTTTCAATATTTTTTGAGAAAAAAAAATTATGGCCTCTCGGTACCAACTGCATACCATATGGTATCTTCTTTGTTTTTAATTCGTTTTTGAAAAAGTTTGCACAGAAGGGACGAGTTCATCATGATCTATTGGATCTGCAAATTTCTGGGTGAACAAATTACAGGACCAAAAAATACCACACAATACCATACAATACCACCCTGGTAGGGGGTGGTATTGTGTGGTATACAATGTTAAAAGTCGTAAATGACAATTAATATACTTTTACTATCATGTATTCAATCATCCTACAGTCTTGGTTTGTTCATACCACCATGGTACTTTTTCAAACCATAGGTATGCTTTTATTTCAATACCAGTCAATACCATATGGTATAGACTAGTAAAAAATGGCTCAATTTTTTTTGTTCGAAAAATATATTAAAGTGGATATCATTTTGAAAAGCACAATTAATCTGATCTAACTGCGCAAAAAATATTAAATTTCGACTTAAAATGAGTGAGAAAATTAAAGGCTTTCCAGGAGAGAGAGGATGCTGATGTCATTCTGATGTGGACGGGTTACTCATGGTTACTCACCATAAGGTTACTGACCTGATCCATTCCCCACTTTAAATATAGTGCGAGTCATTGTCTTATCTTTCCTGTTTTGGCAGTCAAAGACTGTCTTCTTCTTAATCCTCTCCAAAAATAATTTTTCACTACAAAGAGCATATAGATCAATGAGTTAGATACAAACACTAAATCGAAATTGATTGCTTTTATGTTGTATGAAAAAAGTATGTACAGATAGGAGAATAAATATTAGGTTACCCAGATCTCACAAAGAGCGTGCAATATATTAATCCCAAATTAATGCAATAGTTGTGAATTTTATATCAACTTAAATGTATAATCCCAAATTTATGCATAACCACTTTTTCAATAAATTGTAACGGATTATATCTTATTTGTTTAAATTTGAATATAAAACTAATTAGATTTACAAAATAACATTCGCTTTTATATATTTTACAACAAAACAATCTAATCGTGGTGTCATGTAACATTTAAGAATAAAAATATATCATGGAGGTACTAAATATAGAATGTTGGTATATCATACACAAAAATTATTAACTAAGACATAAGAGATTAAGAAAATGTCAGTCAATCTCAAATCTTAGAGCGATCTAAGAGTTTGATATTTTTCGATAATTAAGAGTTTGATACTTGATTATAAAGTCTGCGTAATTCGGGGTTATGCATGTGATACTAGTTCAAGGTTATCCATCTTTACACACACAGAAAAAGAAAAGAATTAGAATTGCATTAGAGAAAAATGAAATATTATTTTTAACAAAGTGTTCCGGAGGTTTCTCAATTTTGTATGCATATAAAAATTAAATTTACTATTCTCTACAAAAGGACCCCATTTTGATATATTTTTGAATGAAAAATATATTTACAGAGGTCGTACGAAAAATATAACATGTTGGCATAACAAATTTATCAAGGTGCATAATATCCATGATCACAAAAACTATTTAGCCGAAATGTTTCAAGACGTGCATTATTTCTAGATTAAAATAAATTTATTTTTTGAACTCCAACCTAAAACAAAGAATACACAATATCATATTAAAAAGTAATCTATTATAAAAAAAGTATTTAGATCCCAATCAATTTTTGGTAAAATGCCTCGAGATTGGATATAAATTTTGTATGATTTTGAGGTTACACATTTCGAATATGACTTAAAATTGAAAATCCTCGAGCACTCGGGGGCAAGTGTAAAAAAATGGAAATTTAATTAGGGAAAAAGTAAATGCAACATTTTTTAAAGTATGTATGAAAGCAAAAAAGCAATGTGTCAAAGGTATAATTATCAATAGCATTGAGCAAGTGGTATGAAAGCATCCATGCGGCAAATATCAATGGTTTTTCAATAGCATTGAGCATCCCATTTGCATAAATACATATTGATGCATATAAAATTGTAAAGGTATAATTATTTTGCTGAGTTATTTTCAGTTCATAACATATTTATTTTCAAATTGAAAATTAATTGTTTCTGTTGCTAATCGTAAAAATGACCAGGCTGACCAAAAAAATTGTCCCATACAAATACGGTCCAAATATAACTAAAGGGTGGTTTGGTTATCGTGTATATTTTGCAAAATTAACATTTACTTTGAGCTTTTTTTTAGGAGTGCTTAAAAAAAAGGAATTTGATTATGATGTTGTTGGATGGAACAGACATTTATGGCACCATTAAAAATACGTAGACTAATCATGATTTACGTTGTTGTTGTTGTTATTATTTTTGCTAATGACAAGGTGAACAATAGCGGAGCTCTATTGCATAAGAAAGCTCCGGAAGTAACTTGTGAGGAGTTTTCAACGATAATGGGCACCAATTTTGATGCAACATATCATTTGTGTCAACTGTCGTATCCTCTGTTGAAGGCATCAACATTGGGAAGTATAGTCAATATCTCTTCCATATCCGGCATCGTTTCACTGCCTTATACTTCTGTCTACGGTGCATCTAAAGGTAAATTAAATTGCCAATCCCGCAATTTTCATGCACCCTTAATTACTTTTATTATTGGTACGATTTCTTTCTTCCATCTCCATCTCCGTGTGTTGACTACTATTTAATTTCTGTACATGAATTCATCAGCTGCAATGAATCAGCTGACAAGAAGCTTGGCTTGCGAGTGGGCGAAAGATAATATCCGCGTGAATGCTGTTGCTGCAGGCCTCATTATGACCAAAATGTTGTCGTCCGCAATGGTACGACCACATAGCTATGCCTATTCCTTCCTTCTCATGTTCTACGTGTTTCTTTCTCTAAGTTGGTCCCCAGTTCTTTTATTTAATTTGCATCTGGTTTTTTTTTTCACAACATGATCGATCGTGTAGTCCCCCGAAGCGGCAAAGGCGATCACAGGCCGAATTCCGTTGGAAAGAATTGGAGAGGCAAGCGAGATATCATCATGGATCGCATTCCTTTGCTCCCCGGCTGCTTCCTACACAACTGGTCAAGTTATTGCTGTCGACGGAGGCCTTACTATCAATGGTTTCAACTAGACACCAACATCAACGCGGTTCTTCTTCTTCTTCATCTACTGTGTGTCCTATTTATATATAGCTGTAAAACATATAGCTCATACATTTCAAACATTAATTTACATTATGAGATATTATGGGTCAGGTTAGAGGTCATTTGGAATTGTGGGTTGTTCAACACTTCAACTTGCAGATAGATTGAATTGCCGGTTGTTCAACCTACCGACAGGTCGGATTATCCTGGTCAACCAATTGACTTACTTACCTTTTATATATTACTAGGTGGCGATGGCGCGCCTTGTCGGGAGTGGAGATGGCCTATGTGCATGTATTATGTGACCCGTTATGGTGTTTTGTTAATATTATTAGTCTAAAATTAATTTTTTTATTAGCAATTTTGTTAGTAATATTGACTTGACCATATGATATTGACTGAGAATAGATATATGGCGGTAAACATCCAATTTAATTTTTTATCAAAATTTTGGCTAGTAAATGATATTTACCTAAAACCGAGTAGACCCATTGATTATAGGTAGGGCATGGGTGACGTATATATGGATTTGGAAGTTTATAGATGGGTTTGGGTAGGATTTGAATATTTACTTCCATAATCTAATTGTGTATGATTTGGGTATAGATACCCATTTATTCGAGAGTGTTTTAATTACACATACAAAAATTAAACCTATTTGTAGAACTTTAAAAGTTTAGGTGCCAAAATGTAATACACAAAAAATTTCCATCAACATTTTGAGGACTTATATGCCAAAAAAATAAATTTAGGTTATAAATCTAAAGATCTATTAAGTTTAGGAATAAAATTGTAATTTGCATAGTTGAGGCTTAATTCCTTTTATGGCGATGTATTTAAGATAATAGTTATTTACTTTTTTATAGAAAAATGAAAACAATTTATTTGATTTGTGTAGATACCTAGCCAAATATTTCATGTATAATTGTTGAAAATTCTAGTCTGAGTGAAAAAGAAAAACTATAGAAAGAAGAAAAAGGAATACAATCTGAAACTCGCTTAAAATTTCACGCCCTCAAATCCCATAGTGGAAACTGACGACTGTCTAATAAGTAATAACCATATATATTTATACTTGTGATTAGAATACATAAAAACAGTATACTAATTAAGGTTAGACGAAGAAGACAAAGAAAGAAATAAAGAAAGGGTTATGGAAGTCGAGTGAAAAATGAAACGAAGAGGAAGTAGATGATGGAAAGGTTTTGACCAATTCTTTTAGTTGAAAGTCAATACAACAATCAACCATTTTCACCGTAGCAATTTATTGACACTTGCTTTGTAGATGTTGCATATTTTGTTACATATAGTTAGTAGAAGTTTGTTTAGTACCCGTAAATGTACTAAATGAGTTTATAAATTTGCTCTTCTAATATTTTAGAGTCGTATCTCTTTTGTCATTTATTTAATGATTCACGTAATGAGCAAATATAAAATGGTCGAATCTTCTCCTACAGTTGAATGATACAACATCTTGTATTGTACAAATTAAATTTATACTTTTATGTTATGGTGGATTGGATTCATGGATTGGTTCAAAAGGATTGGTGGATTGGATTCATGGACTCAAGTGAAATCTAAACATTGGACCGATATGTAAATTAAAAAATTGTAGGTACGAAAATTTCATAAATTTTAGATACCAAAACATAAATGTTCAATAATTTTATATTAAACTTAAATTTGGGGTATCAAAATGTAAAGTGTACATTATAGTGACTAAATTGTGATTTAATTAAATTTAGAGTATCAAAATGCAAATAATAAGCCAACAGTAACCAAACTTCACATTTATATATATTAATAGTTACCACACTAAACAAAAAATATTTTGTTAAAATGTTTTGAGAATGTCTATGTGACTCGCACGAAACTACACTGTGAATTAATCCCGACTAGAGCCCAAGTTTTTAAACTCTAGTCGGGTGCAGTATAGAGCAAGTATTTAAATTGTCAACCCGAGCCGGTCCATGTACCCCCTACTTCAATAGCTTAAGTTGTTATTTAGCCAAACGATTTTGGGTTTTCAAACTAAGAAAACTACAAACTAAACAAGCAAAGAAAAGAAAAGTAAATAAAGGAAAACTCTAACTAAGGGAGCTTCACCTAGGAGTTGCTTCCCCCTAACTAGCTACCATGACTCGTTGGATTGAATGGAGTCGTGTGGTGTAGGTGGTTGTGAACCGTGGGGTGAGCAACTAGTGGTCGATTTGTCACGGAATCAATTCACTAACGATCGATTTGTCATGGGATCGATCCACTCACCAAGTTTAAGGGAACCGCTAGGAGGAGCAACTAGTGATCCATTTGTCATGGGATGGATTCACTAGAGACCGATTTGTCACGGGATCGATCCTCTCACTCAGTCTCTAGGGGTTGCCTAGGTCTCTCCCTCAAACCGGAGTTTGAGCGGCTTAATCACGACCAACCTAGATGCAAACTTGAGTCAAGGAGGATGCTCATCTCTAACCTAGATAGTAGGCACAAAGTGCCCAGGAAAACCAAGATTGTCAAGCCTACCTAAGAAGGTGTGGTTTTCCTCTAATCTAGGTTAGGCAAGCACATAAGATTTGGAAATCACAACTAAGTACAATCACCATGAAAACACCTCTAATACTCAAATTGATGCAACCCATATGAAATCATTCAATCTAAACAAGTAATTATAAAGTATTAGTAGCTAGGTATCTACAACGCCCAAGAGAAAAGAGTGAGTTTCTAGAGAGAGAGAGAGGGGGTTTACAAATTTGAGCTCAAGATCTTCTTCTTCTAAGCTTGAATCCTTGTCTTCAAGATCCACCCAAGCCTCCAATGATGCTCCAAAATAACTCTAGCACCCCCTCTCTCTCTCACTAGAACTCCCCTTTGGTGTTTTTGGGCAAACCCTAGAGAGGGAATTGAATTTCTCTCAAAAAACCAGCTCTCATTTTCTCTCTCCCCGCTTATGTCTTCATATTTGCCCGAAAGTGACCAGTTCACGGATGCGTTGGCAGTTTCATGGCCGTAAATACCTAAACGCGTCCGTGAACTCAGTGTCGTCCAAAACGCACCGCTTCACTCTCTTGGGTTCATGGTCAATGGCCCCAGTTCACGGTCTGAGAGACCGTGAACTCCCTTGGCGTTAGTAACCTCTGAAACCTCGCTGGACTGCTCGATGTTCACGGTTAGTGGTCCATGTTCACGGTCTTAGGAGACCGTGAACTGCCTTGTCCGACCGTGAACAATGGTTGTTTCCTGGACGCCTCCAAATAGTGAATTCGGACTTTTCTTCGGTTTTTGCGCTTTTTGACCTCCAATTATCCCAAAACTCGTCCTCGAGCCTTCCACACATGCTAGGATCTGAAATGTATCAAAAACAAGCACAACCTAGCGTGAAATATGTCGAGGAACGATGAAATACTAAGCTAAACGAATAAGAAATGAGGGGTAAAATGTGTACATTTGGGCCCGAATCAATGCAGTCAAAATCGGGATTTTGATCGTAAAATCGTAGGATTTTAGGATTTTACTTAGGGATTCCGATCCTGATTTTACTATAATATCGGTGGACCTTAAAATCGTTCAAAATCGGGATTAAAATTGTACCAAAATCGGGATTTTGATCCTATGTGAACAAAATAGGCAGTTTGAGACAATTCAAAAGAAGCGGAACTGTTTTGGTGGAAAGGGAAATGACGGCTATATTCTCATATATTTTTCCTATTAAAAGAACATTTGAAAAGGAAAAAAAAAACCTAATTAGAGTTTGGTCAATCCCTTTCCCTTCTACTTGTTTAACTAATCGGTAAAATAGTTGTCATAATGTTGTAAGTACTAAAGAATTAACATCATCATTAACAAATTAATTGATTAATGAATATATTTGTACCAAACCAATGACATTAAAATTCTTATTGGAGTTCACTTATTATTAGTTTTAAATCATGCTTAATAGACGATGTCAGAATACTACTTTGAGTTCAACTACATAAAGACAACATTAAAAACAAGAGCAAACCCCATGAGCTCTATCCCTTCCTCATAAATTACTTTGAGTTACACATTAAATAACAATTAAAAGGATGATTTTGCAACATTAATCTTGAAAATTATCACTTTAAATGTTATATGTCTTTGTGTTATTAATGATTTACCTTATTAATATTATTATATGTTAATTTCTATGTGATACTTAAAATCCTACGATTTTACGATTCGATTTTACGATTCTGATTTTACCCTAGTATTCGATTTTAGGTAAAATCCTGATTTTGACTACTTTGGCCCGAATCGCTATGATGACTTACAAGTCACCATGATTTGGTGAAAAAGGTCAATTGCTTGTGAAAATTGGTCGTGTGCTTCAGGAAACTGGTCTATTGCTTCTGGAAAACAGTTTACTACTTACTCAAAAGCAGTCGACTGCTTCAAAAAAGCATATACCTCTTTCTGGTAAACAATCTACTACTTCCGGCCAAGTTTCAACCACTTTCGACAAATGATCGACCATATCGAATAGTTACCTTCTACTTACATTAAGAAAACTAGATGCCTGCTTGCTACACTTCGCATAAAGCGAGTAATGTGAAAGGTTGCATGTGATTGTAAGAGAGAATAAACTAACCTGTAAAGAACACAAACCCAAAAAATGGGCCTAGTTTTCATTTGATGAATAGGAACATCTAACCATCCAAATAATAATCAAGGAAATATATTTTGCAATATAGGTGAAGATCCGGACCCAGAAGATCTTCAAGCCAGCTCTTAGAGACCTCTTGATCCAGTGCCGGACATGGCAGGTACATTTTCTTTTCCCAAAAAATCTTGGGTTATCGATTGTGGCTGTAGTGAATACATTATCAATAACTCGTCGTTGTTGTCTAAGGAACACGATGGTTCCCCAAATCTTTAGGTCTGAATACCCAATGGGAGGGTGTCTAGGTGAGTAGTATAGGGTCTGCAATCTTTCTAAAGATCTTGTCCTTCGCAAAGTTTTGCACGTACCAGAATTTTAGTGCAATTTACTCTCCATTAGTAGACTCACCGCAAATCTTCCAATTGCATTGATTTTTATGAGCAACTTATGTGTTATTCAGGACTTACCCTCCAAGAAACTAATTGGGTTGGGGCATCATCGTGATGGTCTCAACTATCTTTGGCTGTTCAATGACTCATGAGTGATGGCAAATTCCGTTCAAAGATTCGTTGATAATTTCATTCTATGGCACGCACGTCTTGTTCATCCATTGAGCGCAAAGCTTACTCTTCTGCGGCAGTTTACTTCTAGTCCAATTATTCATCATTCGGATTGTTGTCGTTCTTGTTTACGTGCAAAACATACTCCGGCTCCTTTTGTTTCTAACACTATACAAACGAAGGATTGTCTTGAATTAATTCAGATCGATGTTTGGGGCAGTTATAAAGTGGTGCCAGTTTTTCTTGACAATTGTGAATGCTTTCAGCTGAGCAGTTTGGGTTTTCTTATTGAATTTCAAGTCTGATGTCGCTAAGCATCTTTTATACCTTTGCAACACGGTAAAGACATAGTTTCGTACATAGGTTCGTCTCATTCATAGGGATAACACCCTCGAATTTCTTCAACTAAACTGAAGGATTACTATGCCGCAGAAGGAATCATCTTATAGACTTCGTGCATTCACACCCCTCGGCATAACGGGGTTGTCGTGCGCAAACATCGACATCTCATTCATACTGCTCGGGCTCTTCGATTTCATGCTAATCTTCCACTTCATTTTAGGGTGAATGCGTCCTTACTACATCATATCTTATTAATTGCATGTCTTTAGTCTCTATGGGCAATCGATCACCTTATCAGTTTCTTTTCGGCAAGAATCCATCATATCAACACTTATGTACGTTTGGCTGCATGGCGTATGCTCGTGATAATCATCACACACTTCATAAATTCGGTTATTGTGGTCACGCATGGGTTTTTGTTGGGTATCCTGCCACACAATGCGGTTATCGCATTTATGATCTTGATCATCAAGTTATCTTCACATCCTAGGACGTTTATTTTGTCGAAGACGTCTTTCCGTATCACGCAACTACTCCTCCATCCGAGACTGTTGTTCGACTTCTCGGTCCATCTTACCTTCATGCCTCCATGACAAAGAGGATGACTTTTCTCCATCGCCCCAACCTCTTCCGCAGACACCCTCTGTAGACTCATCTCCAGCATCGACTCTTCCTACTTCCTCGACTACTGCCACTCCTGAGCTCTCTTCGACCAACCAACCACCCTCTTCACCTGACATTCCCATTGTCACTCCTTCCACCAAGTCTTCCCTAGCTTCTGAGGCGATGAGTCTGTCGCCTTCCCCTATCTCGGTTTCTCCAGCTTTTCATAAAAGTACTAGTGTCAGAGTTCCCTCTACACGGTTCCAAGGCTATTACGTCCACATCCCTGGACGCTTTGATGCTCCTCCTCAATCTCATGCTACTTAGGTTGACTACCCCTTGCAGAATTATCTCCACAATCGTCGTCTTTCTCCGACTCATCATACCTTTGTTGCTGCTGTCACCCTTGTTGATGAAACCAAATACTTTCATAAAGCGGTTCGTCACAAGCATTGGTGTGATGCCATAACGTTCGAAATCAAGGCTCAAGAGGTGAATGGCACGTGGACTTTGGAGTTCTTACCTCCGGGAATGCGCGCCATTGACTGCAAATGGGTCTATAAAATCAAGTTAAATCTAGATGGCACATTTGAACGTTACAAAGCTCGTTTGCTTGCAAAAGGGTTCACTTAGATTGAAGGCATTGAATATCACGATACATTTTCCCCAGTTTCCAAACTTGTTACCGTTCGTTGCGTTCTTGCAAGTTGCATTTCGTAATTGGTATGAAAGTTCTTAGTGGAAGATTGAATAGCTTAGGACACAAGTGACACCATTTTAGTAATTTGAACTTCTTAGTGGAATTAGCCCTTACGTTTATTGTCTTTGTAGTTTGTATAACTACAATATAATATCAAACATGTTTCGAGAATGGCTCATGGCTTATTTTATTTTATGTTGTTGTGGCTAACACCTATTATATGAGCATCTGGTAACTAGTATTGTACAAATCTAAACACCCTTATCTTCATGTGATTGTTATAGTTACTAGAATTGAAGTTGGAACAATTTTTAAACTGGGACAGTAGTCTAATTGTCGTTTATATGGTTGGTAGTTGCAAGCCAGGTACATTTGCTGCACTTTAGAAATTCATCTTTCTCCTTTATTTATTGCTAGAACAAACTGTGGATTGTCACTATTCCGTGGATTTGAATGTGAAAGTCGGATTTGATGTACATATAATACACCTTGAAACTGCAAATGGTGCCTCCCAGGTTGTTTCCAAATTCAAGGATAGGAGTCCATGTAGTTTGTTAATTTTGTCTTAGTTGTGCTAATAACTGCAACTTACATCCAAACCTAGTATTTTGCTTCTTATGTGGGAAATTTGGACATCCAAAGCTATGCTGCCCTACTCCCTCCCAAGCTTAAAAAGATCCATACAGCTCATAATTAAAGGTTGGCCCTCTCCAAAACATGACATGTCAATCATATCAAGAGAGGGAGGAGTCATATGAAATATGAATGGCACTGAAAGCAAAGTTTGGAAGGGAAGCAATCATAAACAAAATGTGCATTGAAATAGCTAGTAGTAGTGAAGGCAATAAATCATTATGTAAGAAGGAGGATGAAGGAAGAAAGATAGAAAGTAAAGACGTGGGGAACAAGTTCAAGAACACAACATATACCCATTTATCGTATGAAAAGTATGAGGATGACACATATAAAGGGTCGAATGAGTAAGTTTGTAATTACAAACAACCCCTTGCAAGGGGAGACAAGACGTTGGAAAAGATAAAAATCAGAGATGATATAAATAAGCTGACAGGGAAAGAGCATCACCCTGAGTAAGGGCAACAATAAAATAATAATGTTTTAGTACAACCACAAAATGAAGCTATGATGTTCTCTACGAAGAAAATGGATGACCCTAAGAATCATATGACAAAATAAAGAGGCTTTATTCGATATAAGGAATATAAACCAGAAAGCGACCCCAATATCGACAAGTTGAACATTCTGAAAATACCCTTAGACAATCAGCAGCAACACAATGAGATAGCTGCAGGAACTGTTGGAGACCAGGCCTCTTCAGGTGTGGTAGCCAAGAAGTTTAAAACCAAAACCTTGTTTGGTGGAAGGGATATCTTGGAGGGATTGAAGGGAGTTCAATAAAATGATAATGTAGCTGGTGAATCTGATGATTCAAAAAATTTCATGGATGGTGGTTTGGCGGACCTTGTAGGACAGTAAGGCTGACCAGCCTAAAGAGTATTTTAAGCTACAATTGCCAAGATTTTGGGAGCCCCTTTGCAGTAAAGAAGCTTGGTAGACTAATCCAACTTGAAAACCCAACTTAGTCTTCCTTATGGAGATGTAAAAGAAGTAAAAAGAATGGGAAGAGGTGATGAAACAACTTGGTTGGGAAAAAGGAAGAGGTGTGGGATCACAAAGAAGGGCTAGAGGCCTCTTAATGATGTGAAGAGATGATGCGCAAGTCGAGGTAATTTCTAAGACATGACACTATATTGATTTATGGATAACAAAACCAGGGTTAATAGGGAATTCACTAACATTTATGGTTGGCCAAATCAAAGCAAAAGGATAAAACATGGCCTCTGCTAAGAAAACTTTGTGAGGAAACCACAAACCAAGTCTCGTGACTTGTAAGTTGAGATTTTGATTAAATATTATCCAATGAAGAAAAACATGGGCATAACCCACTAGATGTGAGAGGAATGGAGGAATTTAATACAACCCTAGTTGACTGTGAGCTTGAGGATTTGGGTTATTATGGCAACCCATTTATATGAGATAACAACCATACAGATGAAACTTTTTTAGAGGATAGACTTGACAGAATGTTGGCAAACCAAAAGTGGTTGGCTATCTCCCCATGCCCGAATATATCATTGAGGAGATATTTCAGACCATACACCAATATTAATAAAATGAGATTTCATCCATGAAAATGTTAAGTTGGAGCCCGCATTCTGATATAAAAGATACCAGAACAGGGATGAGGAGTGTCCACGGGCAGTGAGAGATGGATGGAAACTACAAACTGAAGCCACAGTCTTACAAAGATTGGAGAATTGTGAGTCAATACTCAAGTAGTGGAGTAAGTTGAAGTTTGAAAACCTGATCACAAAGCGACATAAAACAAAATAGGCGGTGGGAAGTTGGAAAAAGGAAAAAAAGATAGAGCAGTCTTGCTTCAAAGAAAATATATGGAATTAGTACTTAGAGAAATTGTGGCATAGGAAGAGATAGCACGAAAACAACGATTCAGGACTAAAATGGTTGCAAGAGGGAGATAAAAATACAAAAAATTCCATTGAAGGAACAAAAACACCATTACAAAGCTTAAAGATGAAGATGAGATATTGAGGAATGGGCATGAAGAGGTTACCAATTGCATCTTGCAGTACTTGAAAAGTCTTTTTACTGCAGGTAGTCATCCTCAATCAAACCATGTTGTGGAGGTAGTACCATAGAAGATATCGGCAAGTATGAATAATCAGTTACTTCAAACCTTCACATGAGAGAAGATCTGGTTTGCATTAAAACGGTACCTTTTAAAGCTCAAGAAGCAAATGGAATGCCCGTAGGTTTTCAGAAAGACTGGAAATTGTTGGGGCGCACCTGACTTGGGAGTTACAAAGGTTTTTGGAGACAAGGGAGTCCCCTCAGACTTTGAATCATACATAAGAAAAAAACATCAGATAAGCCATTAAATTTCAAACAAATCAGTTTATACAAGGTACTTTACAAAATTCTCTCGAAGGTACTTGTAAATTGATTGAAAAAGATGCTCAATGAGGTAGTGGTTGAAACCAAACTGCTTTCATACATGAAAGTTTCATAACATATAATATTTTAGTCGCCTTTGAGTGTTTCCATGCCATGAAGGATCGAAAAAGGGAAGGAAATTATATATGGCAGGCAAGCTTGACATTGCCAAAGCCTACGATAGGGTGGAATGACCTTTTCTCTAGGAAATAATGCGGAAGCTAGGTTGGTATGATCCGAACCAAATGGACCGAATTGATATTTGAACCACACCAAATTTTTATTACTATTCATCGCATTATCCCAATTCTAGGATTGTCTACTTTTGCCCTGTCTTTTAGCATTGAGCCCAAACCAATAAGTTAGACAAGTTGTGCTTTAGACTTTTCCTAATCCTAGGCAGAGCAAAGATCGCGGCCCCTAAGCAGTTCTTCACGACCACAATCTTGTCCTTCCTCTCCTGCGAACTTCTGAGTTTCGCTAAAGATTGCGGCCTGCGGTAAAAAGATCGCGGCCGGGATCTTTTGACGTAGCCCGCGATCTTGTTAGCGTCATAAAAGGACGATCACGGGAGCTTCTCGGACCAGAACTCATTTCTCCCAATATTTTCGATTTTCCTGACCTAGAACTCGAGCTAGGAGGATGGAACTCGAAATTTCTTCCCCAAAGTTCGTTTTTCATTTCTCCTTCATCTAATTCGGGTTTTGAGCTTCTAAGCATGTCTGCAAGTAGCTCAAGGTAAGTTTTCATCCAATCTTTCTGTTTTTTCATCATGTGGCACCGAATTAGGGAAAAGAGGGAGACGTTGGGTTTTCGCTTAAATTTTTGGGAAATGAGGTTGTTTGTTTGATTTCTTGGTGAATGAGAATCAATGTATGCTTGCTTTATTTAAAGTGTGTGGATTCGGAGGCCTTGGTGGGAATTTGTGTGCGATTGGATGTTTGGATTTTGAAAATTTTGCTCGCCAAGTGCTCGATATTCTGCCGAACCACACTCTCTTTCAAAAATGCATGATTCTCAACTTTAATGATGTTGTTTAAATCCCCAGTTAGGCTCAAGCATCATCAATTAAAGTTATAGGTATTTAGTTCTTGAGCATAGTTTTCCTCAATTTGTATATTAAGAACATGTTACCATGCTTTGTTGGTGCGCAATTTCAACACACTTGGAGCTCAATTTCTGGTCATTTTTAACTGTAGATGCATTCATTTTAACTCATATTAAGACACTACAGTTTTACTTTCCCCTGTTCTAACCCATAAGTTTATCTTTCGATCCACATTTTTCGCTTTCAGGCACGCTTTTCTGCCAAGTGTGGGGGTAGAACTCCTTGTATTTTGGAACTGTTTTGCCACCTTGATTTGACTGTATTCTGGATTTTTAGGGGAAATGATAGAGGAGAGGGTTCTGATCCTCCAGGGATACGGTCCCCCTTCTCGAGCTTCATTGAGTACTTCAGGAGGAACCGGCGAGCTGCCCCAGTTGAGCCTTCTCCAAGATATGAGGAGCCTCAATATCATTCAAACCCTGAGACTCGGGCAAAGGAATAGGTTAAGCAGCAACCCCAGCAGCCCCAGATGAGAGCTCCAAGGGCAGTGATGCCCCATGTGAATCACCACTTCCTCTAAGCCATCACATTCCTCTCTCGAGAGCATCTCCAACGCTTCCGGGGAATGGCTACATGGGAGAGTGAGTGCCTCAACCAGGTACTTTTTGCTTAGTTGGGAGTGGCAGATCGGATTAGGGAAAGGATGAGAGACCCGGTGTGGCGCAGGGTTCTAGAGATCAATGAGAGGATTTACAGAGTCCTCACACTAGAGTTCATTTGCACCCTGCCGACCAAATTCGTCAAGGGAGCTGCTTTAGAGGACAACCCCCTGATCAGCTTCAGTTTGGGAGGGGTAGAGAGGAAGATGACGATGAGAGAGTTCACTTTCTCTCTCAACATCTACCCTCCGGAGTTCATCACCGACTGCAACTCCTACATCTCTTTGAAGATAGAAGCTGAGCTTCACTTTCCTCATGAATTCTATTAGAACATCATGAAGATCAACGGGGGATCCAGAACAGATTAGAGCATTGGGCCACATTTAAAAAACGGTGAAGAGGGGTGGGCCGTAGCCCTATAAATATTGAAATATATACCCAAAATCAAAAAATTTAAAAGTGCTATACGAGCTTTGTATCCGGGGAAGGCTGGGCCGTGGCCCAGGGGCAGCCCCCTAGATCTGCCGCTGATGAAGATCCTTGGTTGTCGACCCTAGGATTTGAAGCTGTCGAAGGGGAGTGAGGTTTTACCTGAGTTCCGGCTCATTCATCATGTCATTTCTCGCTCATTTGGTGGGAAGCACGGGAGCAAGGAAAACCTCACAGCTAGAGATGTGACCTTCATCTGGAGCATGTAGAGCGACGTCCATCTTCATCTAGGCTGAGCCATTCTGCAGGCTCTTTCTCGCCATGGGTCAGACAAGAGACTTCAGGCTTTGCAAGGAAGAGCTTACATCACCAGGATCGTATATACCTCGGGGTTGATGTGATTGCAGCCAAGATTCAGCTGGATACTTACACGGTTTCAGTTCCTTTTTCACATCTAAAGACCTATTTGAAGACTGTGGAGCAGAATGAGGAAGATATCTGGTCTGGGATGTTCGGGGCCTAAAGTTCCCGGAGACCAACGGTCATCTTCATCAGGTCCGGCTCGTCACAGCTTCCATGCCGAACAGTCCAGCCGACCTCAGACATCTTATGCCGGAGACGCCCAGACCTTCGCTGATCTGGAGACCATCCTGAGGAACCAGCAGAGGGACACAGAGTGGAAATATTGGTCTGGTCCTTCTTGAAACACCCTAACCCGGCCGGGTACTACTTTTACTAAAATGCCCTTGATAAATAAAATAAACAAATCTTAAAATTGCAGCGGGAAAATTTTTCATAAATAAAATACTGAAAACACACACTTGTAGTTTAGAGCAAAGCCCTAACACGTGGGCAAATTAAACTCAACTTTAAATCTCAATCTGATCTCCAATCTGTACTCATAATCATAAAAATGTAAATAACTAGGTAGTCTCTGTCGTTGCTGCTACTGAAAATCTTAACTAGGCATCCTCTGTGACGCTTGCACCGCTCTCCTCTAGCTGGTTGCTCTCGAACTTTTCCTCTCGAACTCGCTGCTCCCTAACTGCTCCTCTAGCTAGCTGCTACCGATCTGGTTCTCACTCATTCCCTTACTAAGGCCTGGTGAGTGAGTTGGGGTCAGTCTACGCCCTTACGTTTAACATCTTATTAAAACTTGATCACTTTACTTAACTGTGTGGGAGTTGTTTTGTACTTCCAATATTAAAAAGCTTAACTCTTAAAACTGTATGGGAGTTACTGTTACTCTCCATTCTTAAAGCTCAAATCTTGACTTAAATACTTGACTGACACGGGGTCCCTCACTAGCTAGTCCGGTTGTCAACTCATACGTATGAGAAGCCATCCAGGCTTTCCTCAAACTTAAACTTAGTTAGGGAAGTCGCAACGATTCATCCCCCTAACATCTTAAACTTATCGTGGTGGCTCTTCACCACAATTCTCAAGGGCATAACTGCTGCCCATCTTAAAAGTCTCAAGAGCATAATTGTTGCTCTGTCTCAAAGATCTCAAGAGCATAACTGCTGCTCTATCTGAAAATCTCAAATGGCAGCGGACTGGCGCTAGCGACTAAAAACACTTAAAACGACTCCACCTTCTTGAAGGTGAGTTACTTCTTAAAAAGAACTTGTTCTTAAACTTCAACAATAACTTCTACTCGTGAAATTTCAAAGTAAATAATAAACATTCACTTCACGCATAGATCAAACAAAATCACATATCATCAACCATAAGCACAATCAACAACGACAATCACTTCATCAAAATACTTAAAGCTCGAAATACTTGAAAGAACACGTAAGGCGTAGAATTTACCCCCTTTACACTCACTTGGACTTCATCGACCTCGACTCTGATTCTTATCTGAAATTTCCACAGCTTGTTCCCATTCAATTTTCCTCGTTCCCACGACCCCATAGGCGCAAACGGTTTCTCGTTTGGACGTCAATTGATCGAGTTATGACCAAAATAAACATTCTGTCAGTTTTTCAAAGTTCCAGGTACCGAGACTGCAATTATCCAGTCAACACATTTACTCGGACTTCTGAGGAAAATTATGATTGTAGTCCCTAAACTTTTCGAATTGTCACAAACAGTACCTGAATTTGTCCAACTTTCACTCCAACCTTTCGATGCTCGTTTCTCCCTCGTCCGACATCGAAACTCAATTCCGTCGAGACCGCGATGCTTCTGGGATCGTCCTCTTCACGATGATAACCACCACTCAAAGAAAATTGGAATTAGCCTACGCCAGGATCGTTGTCGGACCTTTACAATGTCACGAGAAACTTTGTCGTCGGTGGTGGTATATTGCTTGTTGGACGGGACGAGTGGAGGTGCTCACTTGATGCCGCCTCTATGCTTCTCACAACTACTGCTACGGGAGGGACGCATAAATGGAAGGGCAGAGGTTTTCTTTGACTGAATGCCACACCCGTATAGGCTTCATGGCTCTGGTAGTAACGAAGTCGCCGTGGGGAGCAAAGAGAGGAAGAACCGCGTCTGACTTGGTGGTGGAAGAAGAGCAACTGTTGCGCTCACTGAACCAAGAGGGAAAATTAAGTTTCTCGGCTGCGATTTTTGCATATAATTATATATATATGCTAGGGTAAAGTGGAGGTGAGTCCGAGAGCTGCTGGGGAGAGGGGTTTCTTTCTTTCCCATCTTCTTCTTCTCGCCGCCCAGGTTAAATTTAGGGGTGGGGAATAATTGAGAGTCCCTCGGCCCTCTAGGTTTATACATATAATTTTTTTTAAAGAAAGTAATAATAATAATAGTTATTATTATTAGTCCTAATCAACAGTTGTAACTCTTAGTACGTAACCGTCAATCCAACCGAACACGTATTAAGGTCGAACCTAAACCCAAAATTCGGGTGTTACATTTTCTCTACCCTTATAAAAATTTCGTACTCAAAATTTGCTCGAAACTCATCCTTCTATCATTTATATTTCCTCAACTGGTAGCATTCGTGTAACCTTGAGTGGCTCCCTACCCTTTTTGTTTCACAACTTGATCCAAAAGTGATGAAACAAACTGCTGATTTGACTGGACATGTTGACCGATTCTCCTGGTAGTTGTTGTTGAACCCATGTCCAGAATCGAGATATCACATTTCCCCCCACCTCAAGAAAAATTTCGACCTCGAAATTTGTTTATCTTGACAACCCAAAGTCCCACTAGAGGTAATCCTTCCACTACAGGGATTTATACTTCATTTACTTTGTACAACCTTGAGCTATGATTCCTTCCCTCCAATTCGTGTGGTTCTTTGCCAACTAATTCGTCACCCATTTTTCAGAAATCTCTTGCTCAAGCTAGTTACTTGCTCAATGCGTCTATGGCACTATGACACTCTCCCTTCTTAAATGCCTCTGATGGTGTAATGGCATTCGTAGCTCTTGTTGTTCTCAACGATTTGTCTTGGGTCTCTACTTAGGATTCCTTAAGAACTTAAGGAAATAAATTATTAGCCAGCCATTTAGGTCGTGACTCATCGTAACTTCAGCTCATAACAGGCCCAGACCTTGAACTTCGCCCCCCCCCCCATCTTGACTGCTGACGACTCTCCTAGGTATAGAATGTCTGTAGAGAATGTCTGACCTGCATAATGATTGACTCCGATGCTGGTTTTTAGGTATCACTTCTTCTCCCATTATAGGCCTCGTTATTCTCCTCTTTGATAACTCCACTTGATACACACACATGATGTCTAATTCACCATTATGGTTCCTTTAGCATGAGAAAATCCCTTACACATCCCTATTGACGTTCTTAATACCCCTTTCAACCCAAAGGTTGCTAATGGCGGCTTAACCTCCATCTTGTTATATCGCAAAACTCTTTTAACATAACCTCATCTGTGGTTGACCACGTAGATCGCCTAGGTCCTTGTACCTTCTGACTTTGAATCTCTTACTTTCTTCCAAGATTCTTTGTCTCTCCCTTTAGCCATCGACTGAATGGGCATCTCCTCGTTACTTGTTGCTTAGCGCCAAAACCTCTGTAGGCAACAGAGACATCCTTCTCATTTCTCTCTAGCTTGCAATCAACCTTATGAATCATTTCAAGGATCATGATATTCCCAATGGCTTACTTGCTCACCCCTGACGCCTAACTTAGCACTTCCTTATAGTTTCTTGAATTTGATGTTCTCGTAATATCCATTCTTCCACTCTTAGACCCTAGCTGAAACTCCTCGTACGGTTTCCCCGTCCAACAAGGTCCTAGCAGGTTCCCTAAACTCATATCCATCTTACTCCTTTACTCGTGACTCCTCTTACCGATGTTTCTCGCTAGTTCTATATGTCCCTCGTCCTCGATGTAGTCATCTTGGTGCCCATATTCTCTTCTCACTTATGTACCTTGACCGATAAGGTTTTCCCTTCGACCGTTCTGGACCACCACACTTCTACTTTAAAGTTGACCATTGAGCTTCTCAGTTCTTGATGGGCTCCTATGGTCCAACTTATTCTCCACTGGCAATCACCTTAACGCCTCCTTGTTGACCTTCGTATTATTTCGCCGGCTCTTCCTAACTATCTTTCTCCCTGAATTTGTCGTTTTATCAACTACCACCCTTTTCACCATAACCTTCATTATAGCCTTGTGATTTCCTCCTTACTTCCACAACTCCTTCATCGATGCTTGGTACTAGCTTTGATCTACTCAGTTTAGTAGCTCCTCGCCATACCTCCGAGCCAACATTTCCACTAGAAACTTTCTCTAGGTAGACTTGCCAGATGACACCCACGACTTCTACCCACGATGGTACTTGACCACGTCTCAACTATCTTCCTTCACACATTCATTGTCCGGTCGACAACCACCTTTTTATTTTATTTCCTATAGCGTTCTATGGTGTTCTCTTGCTTCTTTACTTTTACTACCCTTCTGTTGATACTTTGTACTATTTTCGGTCACCAAACTCTGTTGAGTATCTTCTCGTTGTTGTTTTGGGTCAACGCTTCCAATAGTGGCTTGCCTTTGGTAGGCTTGAACATACCTCATCCACGTCTTTTGTCTCGACCGATGCTTGTACATAGCCTTAATCTCTTAGTCACGGCTCTTAGTGGCTTAACTAAACGTGCCTGTTTCATCCTTAACTAGTTGTCCCCTCTGGAGCCCTCGTACCATGTTGCGCCCCCTCAGAGTGGGGCACCTTGGATAAGGTAACTTCTCTTTTTCCTCCTTCTCGGTAATGCTTTCCCTCATCGTACCTCTTTGTGCAGCTTCTTGACCTCAAGTCACCTGAGACTTGACCCATTGACTTCTTGAAATCTCGTCCAATGGTAGTCGTACTGAGACCATAACTTGTCCTCTACATCATTTATCTCGTTGCTTGTCTTGTTCCTTCTAAAGGGTTTTCATCGGCCCAACTTCCCAGCGTTATGTATCCTCTTATCTAGTGACGTAGTTTATCTATAAGGGTTCCTTAATCATCATATGTAAACGACCATGCCTCCTCTCCTCCTTAACTATTGACTTCTTGACGTCCTTTCAGACCCCCTCTAACCTACTTACTTCCTCATTTACTTCATTTATACCACCCTAACTTTTCTTAAAGTCTAAGCTCTCCATTGGTCCTTGTCACTGTGTTGTAAAAGCGTAGAGCCGTCGACCACTAAAACTAGCTGAGGGACTTCTCGCTGTACATCTTCGTTTCTTGACTCGTTGCCACCTCGCAACTGCTTAGGGTCAAGGACCCTGAAATCCTCCTTTCCATATAGCCACTGCCCTCTAGTGAATGTAGTTGTTTCTTCGGAGACTCATAGTTCTCCTATTTGTATATCTTAACATATGAGATCGATTGTTAGTGGCTAAACAGAAAAATCCCCGTAGTGCTCCTTTAACTCCTTTGATTCCTCGTACATATACCACGGGATAGAACTTCGCAATTGGCGTACCCTTTTATGAGGACTAATGTTATTTATCTTAATATGATTAGAGTAGACTGGAGATTATATAGACTCTTAAAAGGAGACCCTTGACTCATTTTCCTTTCCTTTAAAAAAAACCTTTAAAAACTGAGACCGACATTCCAGTATTCCCTGGAAACCAAGGAACAGAGGAAGACCGGCTCTGATACCACAATGAAACACCCTAACTCGGCCGGGTACTACTTTTACTAAAATGCCCTTGATAAATAAAATGCTCAAATCTTAAAATTGCAGAGGAAAAAATTTTCATAAATAAAATACTGAAAACACACACTTGTAGTTCAGAGCAAAGCCCTAACACGTGGGCAAATTAAACTCAACTTTAAATCTCAATCTGATCTCCAGTCTGTACTCATAATCATAAAATGTAAATAACTAGGTAGTCTCTGTCGTTGCTGCTACTGAAAATCTTAACTAGGCATCCTCGGTGACGCTTGCACCACCCTCCTCTAGCCGGTTGCTCTCAAACTTTTCCTCTCGAACTCGCTGCTCCCTAACTGCTCCTTTAGCTAGCTGCTACCGATCTGGTTCTCGCTCATTCCCTTACTAAGGCCTGGTGAGTGAGTTGGGGTCAGTCTACGCCCTTACGTTTAACATCTTATTAAAACTTGATCACTTTACTTAACTGTGTGGGAGTTGTTTTGTACTTCCACTATTAAAAAGTTTAACTCTTAAAACTGTATGGGAGTTACTGTTACTCTCCATTCTTAAAGCTCAAATCTCGAATTAAATACTTGACTGACACGGGGTCCCTCACTAGCTAGTCCAGTTGTCAACTCATACGTATGAGAAGCCATCCAGGCTTTCCTTAAACTTAAACTTAGTTAGGGAAGTCGCAACGATTCATCCCCCTAACATCTTAAACTTATCGTGGTGGCTCTTCACCATGATTCTCAAGGGCATAACTGTTGCCCATCTTAAAAGTCTCAAGAGCATAACCGCTGCTCTGTCTCAAAGATCTCAAGAGCATAACTGCTGCTCTATCTGAAAATCTCAAATGGCAACGGACTGGCGCTAGCGACTAAAAACACTTAAAACGACTTCACCTTCTTGAAGGTGAGTTACTTCTTAAAAAGAACTTGTTCTTAAACTTCAACAATAACTTATACTCGTAAAATTTCAAAGTAAATAATAAACATTCACTTCACGCATAGCTCAAACAAAATCACATATCATCAATTATAAGCACAATCAACAACGACAATCACTTCATCAAAATACTTAAAGCTCGAAATACTTGTAAGAACACGTAAGGCGTAGAATTTACCCCCTTTACACTCACTTTGACTTCATCGACCTCGACTCTGATTCTTATATGAAATTTCCACAACTTGCTCCCATTCAATTTTCCTCGTTCCCACGACTCCACAGGCGCAAACAGTTTCTCGTTTGGACGTCAATTGATCGAGTTATGACCAAAATAGACATTCTGTCAGTTTTTCAAAATTCCAGGTACCGAGACTGCAATTATCCAGTCAACACCATTGACTCGGACTTCTGAGAAAATTTACGATTGTGGTTCCTAAACTTTTCGAATTGTCACAGATAGTACCTGAATTTGTCCGACTTTCACTCCAACCTTTCGATGCTCGTTTCTCCCTCGTCTGACGTCGAAACTCAATTCCGTCGAGACCGCGATGCTCCTGGGATCGTCCTCTTCGCGATAATAACCACCACTCAAAGAAAATTGGAATTCGCCTACGCCGGGATTGCTGTCGAACCTCTACAATGTCACGAGAAACTTTGTCGTCGGTGGTGGTCTTTTGCTTATTGGACGGGACGAGTGGAGGTGCTCACTTGACGCCGCCTCTATGCTTCTCACAGGTACTGCTATGGGAGGGACGCACAAATGGAAGGGCAGAGGTTTTCTTTGATTGAACGCCACACCCGTATCGGCTTCACGGCTCCGGTAGTAACGAAGTCGCCGTGGGGAGCAAAGAGAGGAAGAACCGCGCCTGACTTGGTGGTGGAAGAAGAGCAACTGTTGCGCTCACTGAACCAAGAGGGAAAATTGAGTTTCTCGGCTGCAATTTTTGCATATAATTTTATATATATATATATATATATATATATGCTAGGGTAAAGTGGAGGTGAGGCCAAGAACTGCTGAGGAGAGGGGTTTCTTTCTTTCCCATCTTCTTCTTCTCGCCGCCTAGGTTAAATTGAGGGGTGGGGAATAATTGAGAGCCGCTCGGCCCTCTAGGTTTATACATATAATTTTTTTTAAAGAAAGTAATAATAATAATAATTATTATTATTATTAGTCCTAATCCACGGTTGTAACTCTTAGTACGTAACCGTCAATCCAACCGATCACGTATTAAGGTCGAACCTGAACCTAAAATTCGGGGTGTTACACTTCTCCTAATATGTCTTTCACTAATAGACCGTGGTTCTTATGAATTTGGTTTGGTCCGAACCGTTACACATCTCTAGGTGGATCTGAGCTAATGACTTCATTTCTTGCTTTGGGGGGGGGGGGGGGGTGGAGTCTGATTGTTTATTGGTGGTTTAGAGAATACATAGTGATGAAGAAAGTGAAGTGGAGATTGCTGACATGTGCATGGAAATACGGGCATAGCTTCAGCAAGCAAACAGGCTCCATATTTAGTTTGCGTGCCGGGAAGCAAACGCAACAGCCACTTGATGGCCCGAACTCTTTGCAGTTGGAAGGAAGAGAAAATTTGACTGTCAATGTCAGCCATTTTTTTATACCACATTAATTGTTGATTGTAACAATGCTATGTAAGCCATTAATAAAAGTTCCACGACACTTCTATAAAAAAAACAGTCTTTTAGAAAATTTAAAATGACATAGCGTCACATATTTTTTTTAGGGCCAAAGAATAATTGTAACTTCCCAAACCTTTTCCCAACAACATATTGCCCGTTTTGGGCCTTTACCCTCACGGATTCCGACTTGGGGTGCATATCAAAGTGACTTCACATAAGGTCACCATCTTTGTAGTGTTTCACGCTGAGCACGCTTAACTTCAGAGTTCTCACAATAACTCCGCCCATTTTCAAAAGCGGGGGGAAGAGATCTTTTTTTGCAATGGAAAAAAGGGCAAGATTTTCACCTCAAAATGAGACTTGTCAATTAAGGTCGGTTTCTTAATTATCAACCATATATGTCTCTCGTGCTTTGTCGATGTGAGATTTGCCTAACGTGTTACCTACACCCTCCCGCCCTTTCGGTCTCAAGGTCTTCGTTGACGGTTGCCCCACCATCGTTCAAAAGGGACACAAAGAGACTCTGTACCACTTGTAACATCCCAAATTTTTTTCGGATAAGATATTGTCAACTTTGGCCCTTTAACCTCACACATTTCGACTTGAGGTGAATATCAACGTGACTTCCCATAAAGTCACTCGTACTTATGCTTCAAGCTGAGCATGCTTAACTTCATAGATTTCACAATGACTCCTCCATTTACCCCTAAATGCGTCTTGTCGGTTAAAAATTAAAATCGATATATTACTTGTGAAATCGAACAAAATTTAGAAATGGGGGCTGATTCGTAAATAAATAATAATTCTGATATTTTCGACCGGACTCGACCAGTTCTGCCTCGCCTCCCACTCGTTCTGTTTCTCTATCTGGGTTACCCTCCAGCTCGTTGTCGATCTCTTTCCTTTCATTTCCCTGGGAAACCCTAACTTCTCCAATCTAGGGTTTACCTCGCTCTATCGTTTCTATCTAACCATGTTGGCGCTGTAAGGCTTGACGCTTGGTTGGGAGAGGTACAGGTTAGCGTTTCGCATTCGCAAGTGCCTGTTAGAAAGAACAATTATGTATCATCGGGATCGGGGAGGAGCCGGCAGCGTTTCATCGAGATCGGAGCTTGTAGGAGGACGCCTCGATCGGAAGCGCATAAATGACGCCCTTGACAAGCACCTAGAGAAATCGTCTCCATCAACTTCGAGGGCCTTGAGCAGCAAGGGCAAAGATAGGTTGTCCGTACCATCTACTTCCGCTGGCAAGTCGCAGCTCGATCATCGCGATTCTCGACCAGCTTCTCTACCTAAGAACAAGTGCTCCGATGGTAGGTTTTCTGGTTGATGTTGGTCAAACAGATTATATGGTTTGCCTTTTTTGTGGGTGCTTCTTCATTCATGCTTAGCTGTGAACCAAACACATTTGCTCACCTGTTTACAGAACATTCTTTGATTTTTTATAAGTTTGAATTTCCTGTCAAGATTGCTATGCTAAGTCAGCAATTGGTAGAAATTGGGGAAGCAGTCATCTTGTCTCACAGATTGTTGTTCAACTGCATCTCTATGGTTTTCATGAGTTCCGTAGGAAATGAGTCATGCATTGATGAATTGCTGTCTTTTTGGCCTATTGAGTTTCATGATTTCTCCTTTTCGTACACAAATCTTAAATCATTCATTTTCATGTCGTTGGGGAACCTAAAATGTGCCACTTGTGATGCGAAATGTCACACTCGGTAGCTTCTTCCTTTCAACAATACATTATCCAAAGAGCCGAATGGTTTGCTGATATCTATTGTGGTGGCCTTTAACTCTTTTACCTATTTCTGATGAGTTGATCACCTTGTCCCTTGCTCTGCCTACTTCATGCCAACCTCAATTCAGTTAAGTCTGAACACTTCCAATTAAGTTAGACTCGTAAGATTAGATGACGAGGAAATATAGGGGCAACAGCTTATCGACACAAACTGAATTCATTCACCGTGCCTATTTCCTTAAACGAGAAATCAGTTGATGCTTATATCTCATACTATTCTCCGCGGGAAAAGGAGGATAGTTGAGAGGAAGCATTTTTTTTTCTTTTTCAATGAGTACTATTCATTACAAGCAATTATTAATGAACCCGGGAATATGATTCATTTCAGCTCAGTTAATGTTTGGCTCATCACAACAACAGAGAGTCTACGGCTGCCATTACTCATCAGTCATCACTCTTCTTTGTGGCTCCATGAAGTTGATGGACAAAAATGGCCTTCCTCTCATCTATCTTCCTTTCCCAAAGGAGGATAGTATAGATTAGGCCTAATTTGAATATATATATGTTTTTGGAATTAAACTTGCTTTTTCTGATCTTTTGTAGAAAGAAGAATAGTGAATGAATCCATTTTGTGTCAATAAGCATTCCTCATAATCTTGTCTCTAACTTAATCACAAGTGTTCTGATTTAATTAGATACTAGGGGCTGATATAGTTTGAACAAATTAAGCTGTCATGGCAGGTCATCAGTTAATATTCATCTCTTTTCTATTGCTGTGAAGTTGGAACTTGAACCCTTACATTCCTGACTTGGCTAATATTTGGAGAACTGCAGAGGAATCTGAAACAGATAGTGAAGAGTCAGACGTAAGTGGTTCCGAGGGGGATGACACATCCTGGATTTCATGGTTCTGCAACCTTCGAGGAAATGAATTTTTCTGTGAAGTGGATGATGAATACATCCAGGATGATTTTAACCTGTGCGGATTGAGCAGTCAAGTTCCGTATTATGATTATGCACTTGATCTTATATTGGACGTGGAATCTTCTCATGGTAAGCTTTGCTGAATTCATGAGGCATCATTTCAAACTTATGAATTACATTTATAGCCATAGGTTTCTGTCAGCTATTCTAGGGGTTACTCAACACATTTTTGTTCTACCCTTGCTAACCTGCAGTGGTTTTAAGTATGTTTAGTTGCAAGAATACTTTGTTTTCCTTTTTCCTATTTTTCTTCATCTCTGGATTGCATACCTCGGAGGCTTGGACAATCTACGTAAGCACGTGGGCATTTGTAGTGAATCATTTCCCTTTACAGAATCATTGAGTAAATCCAAGAGTGTGACTAGCCGTACTTGGGTTATGTTGTTGATGTAAACTCTACTTAAAAATAAATCTCTTTGGAGTTCGACCTCCTGGGCTTCTTTATAGATTCACCGTCTCAGTGAGATGCCACATGATATTTAGCACCTGTGATGGGCTGTTCATGCACAGGTGATATGTTCACTGAAGAGCAGAATGAGTTGGTGGAGTCAGCAGCAGAGATGCTTTATGGTTTAATTCATGTGCGTTATATACTCACTAGCAAGGGCATGGCTGCAATGGTATATTCTCTACTGAATTGCTTTGCTCCACAGCTTTTTCCCAGTTTTCTTTTTTCTCTTGGGTTTAGTCTTAAGTTTGGTTGTGGGGGAAAAAAAAACATGTGCAGCTGGAGAAGTACAAGAACTACGACTTCGGGAGATGCCCAAGAGTTTACTGCTGTGGACAGCCCTGCCTTCCAGTTGGCCAATCTGATATTCCTCGTTCGAGTACTGTTAAAATTTACTGCCCGAAATGTGAAGACATATATTACCCTCGATCAAAGTACCAAGGCAGTAAGTATCCTCTATTATTATTCGACAATTGTTCTTTTGCTTTCTGTGCTGGGTATCTTTGATGGAATTGGTTTGCTGGTTTTCACCAACACATGCACAGACCTTGATGGAGCATACTTTGGGACAACGTTTCCTCACCTATTTTTGATGTCGTATGGGCACTTAAAACCACAGAAGGCAACACAGAGTTATGTGCCAAGAGTTTTTGGGTTCAAGATCCACAAATCCTCCTGATTTCAGCAAGGCCCTGAGGTGGTTGGGTCCTATTGCAGCTATTGCAGTGACAGAGAGTGATTGATTCTCCCAGGAAGCTCCTCTGCCGAACAGATTAGTAACAGGCGCAGTGTGGGGTGGGAACCTGAGAATGGATTGCTCAACGAAAATCGGGTGGGTGTAGTAGTGTTATTTGTTTAATTCAACCTATTAGCATATGTAATATTTTCTTGTTTGTAACCATTTGCGTAAATTGCACTAAAATTACTATTTTGTTTCACATTTAACTGAAATTAATTCAATATTCCAAGTTTGGTAAATAGCAGTTAGCTTCCATCAAATTCAGTTTATGGCATTAGTTTTTTCATGAAGTGCCTAACTCAACTGCCGAGCCACTCAAATTTTACTAAAACAAATTAAAACCCGACGTCATAAAACCATTGTTAAGAACCGAACTGTATCAACGGTAGATCAGTGGAAAAACTTAAGCAATTAAAACTATGTCTTTTGCTTAGGCAGCTTAGGATCGACCTAACTATTTTTAGCGGTTAGACATTAAACCAGATGTAATACTTTGTTTTTACTAGTCAACTAATTTACTATTTTAACCATGAGAAATTAAGAGGAAAAAATACTTTAACTTGAACTAAAACCATATGTTAGTATCATCTAGCTCGTGACAGGAACAAAAATGATTTGTTGTGCGGGCTTGACTCACGATTCGTTCGTCTGATGTCGTCAGGAGGAAAGGAACCTGTGGAATACGGGATGCCCCCGGATTATGCTCCGACGATCTAGTTAGTATATAGTGTAGAGAGCTATGAGAGAGTATTTAGAGGGAGAAAGTGTAGAGAGAAAGACAAAGTATAAAGTGAGAATAGAAGTTGAGTCCCCTTCCTTGGAGGGCTTGGAAGCCTTATATATATACGTAATGGGCACCGATTGTGCGGTAGGCTAGGTGTCATCGGTTGCGCAATAGGTTGGGAGTCACTGGTTGAGCGGCAGGTTGGGCGTCATTATATATGCTTGTGCGCCACAATGTTGGTGCTCTACCACTTAGTGTCAGTTCGCCTAAATAACACCCTGAACACTATGCTAGTGAGCCACAATGCCGATGCGCTACTATTTAGTCTCAGTTGGCTCAGAAAAACCCCGAAACTATGCTAGCCCGCCACAATGCCGGTGTGCTTTGACTTAGCCTCGGTTTGGCGTCACTAGTAACGCGTCGCTGGTTAGGCGTCACAATGCTAGTGTACATACAACTTAGTCTCAGTTTGACGCCGATTCTTGGTAACGTACCACAGTATTGATGCGCTATTACTTAATCTGTGCAGGGCGGTTTTATATTTTTTTACCTTGCATTATATTACCTAAACTTTTAAGACTTTATAAACAAGTTCAATGAGTTGGTATGAGGAATTTCATTTCACTAGTTGTTGCTAAAAGTCACATGATCAAAGTGGGCCGACCTTAAGTTGACTTGACCCTATCAACCCTTACAAGGCCAAAAAGATAACCTCATCCTGTAGACAAACTGACTCAGGGGATTGGTCAATAGATCTCTAGAATCAATCTTACACACCTAATATATAACCTTCTTTTTATTTTTTCTTTTACCAATGAGCAAGTTTGTTAAACAAATTTCTAATTGTTGACTCAATCAAGCAAGTGGGTCACGGTTTGATAGGTCTGAGAAACAATTAACTTGGTTAATTCGGAGTAGCTAGCGGCGAAAGGGTAAGTTACAAAGTGTCAAAAAAGAAACAAAAGAAAGGAAGAGTTTGATTGGCTTACTCGAATAAGCCATTAAAATCTGCTAGTTTTTCACCAAAATGAAAATCGATCGGTATTGACCAATTTTTTAATGAATTTGACCTTTCAAACTAGGCGGACATAACATAATAAGATGATCGGTTATGGTCAACTACAATCCAAGTGACTTGTTCTAGCTCAGTTTATCCACCATGGTTTTCTCCACTACGAAATACACATTCTTATGTAGTGACTGAAAGAGCACGGATTTAGGTGTGCGATTGAGGATCGTGATTGGTATGAGAATTAGGGATTTGGAGTGAGGTAAAATTTGGGAATTAGGGTTGAGAGAAGAGGAATCCGGTCACCTGGGTGGTGGCCGACGGGTTGGAGAGGGAAGAGGGGGGTTCGACAATGAGAGAGGGAGGGAGAGAGAGAGAGAGAGAGAGAGAGAGAGAGAGAGAGAGAGAGAGAGAGAGAGAGAGAGAGAGAGAGCGAGCGCCTTAGGGAATAATTCTGTTGTAATTGCTTAACCCTCACTTAGGCCTAACACAGAATATATATAAACCGACTAATTCCCTATAGCTACCCAAAAACTTAACATAACCGATTTAACCCCAATAGTTCCCGAAATAGCCGACATAACATAAACGTCCAAATAACAAATAAACCCTCAATTAATGACTATCTAACATCCCATTCCCCTTGAAACCCACCTTGACCTCAAGGTGGACCTTCTTTCTTCTCTTCCTTCTTCTCTTCCGCTTCTCGCGCCTCCATTTCCTCTCCTCCATCTTCCCAGTTTCCGACCAGCAGCATTAGATGACCCTTGGCGCATTGGTGCCCCACCGTGTACCTCTCGTCGCAGTTGAAGCATCGACCATCTCTGCGCTTCTGGTCCATTTCCGCCTGAGTCAGCCGGACAGACCCCTTTGGTGGCAGCCTTGACTGGAACCTGTTACTCGATGCTGCTCCAATGGCCGCCGGGCTTGCATTTCCCGACGGCGGTGTGGTACCGGCTTCTGCTCCTATTCCTCCACTGGCTTTCTGGATACGCCCAGCCGACGTCCTCCAACTAGCCAACTCTTCTTCCTTGCGCCCTGCAATCCTGAAAGCAACTCGAAGAGAGTCAGGTTCGAAAACCTTAATGGCGGTGGCCAGCTCAGGGCGGAGCCCCGCCATGCCCAATCCCACCAGAGTCTCCTCTATCATTTCCTTGCACTGGTTTCCCAGCTTAAGGAACTCCGCGCGATACTCGGCCACCGACCCTGTTTGTCGGAGCTTGGCCAGCTATTCCGGAGCTCATCCCTCCGCCTTGCCGAACTGGTAGCGCAACTCATCCTGTAATATGGGCCATGATATGATCTCACCGGCCGCTGCATAAGCTCGCTCGGTCCATTCCCACCACTTGAGGGCATCTCCCTCAAGATAGAAGGACGCCAGATGCACCTTCCGCTCTTCTCGGATTGGGTGGTTCCTGAACCACCTCTCAGCTGCATACAACCACAAACCCACATCTCCCGAGCCGCCGAACTTGGGAAACTCTATCACTGGCGGTTTAGCTCTAAATACCAATTCCTCTTCAGTCTCATACAGAGGGTTACTGTATTCATACCTGCCTATGTTCGGTGGGGTGGTCGATTCGTCGGGCCCTGATGGTAGTAGCTACCCGCGACCCGCTGCTTGGGAGGATAGGGCCAGTCGCCCGCCACCTCCTGATAGTTCTTGCCGTATCCGGGCTTGGTCCCCGCTCCCTGCCCAATATCTCGATATCCTCGACCTCCCGCTGCTCGCGGCGTACTCCACGGGGGGTACCCATACTCCTGGCTACTGTCGATACCCTTGCCCGGCCCGCTCCAGTTGCTGTCGCCAGCGGTTGACCCGACCCGACCTGGTTCGGTTCGGTTAGCCACCCACTGACTCGCCCGGTTTGGTACGGACCGGTCGGACCGGTTGGCCGCCCACTGACTCGCCCGGTTCTGCCCGATTGCGGGTCCACCATCCCGCCCCCTCGACCCTCTTCTGGGCCCGGGTCCACCCAGCCCTCCGGGTCGCCGAAACTCCACTCCTCCTCCTCCCCGGGCCCAATCGGCCAGGTTTCTTCTTCGTTGGGCCCAGTCGGTCACGACTCTCCTTCGTACCCCGCCCTCTTCTGCTTCCCACGGGCCTTGTCATGGGCCGTATCCGTCGGCGTCGGCAGCAACCTAGGCCCACTGAATGCAGGCGCGGGTGCACTCCTCGCGCCCAAAGTTCCCGGCTCCCCGGCTCGGCTACGCTGCACGGTCGAGCTACCCGGCGCTCCGCCCGCCGCGGCCAGGGCCCGCGTCGCCCCCGCCTCGTCACCGCCGGCCGGCGGGTTCTCCTCGGCTGTCCCTCCTCCCACCGCGCCACCGCCTCGGTCCGACCAGCACCCGCGCCGTCGCGCGGCTCCTCCTCCTAGCGCGCGGCCCTCACGTCGCTGCCCTCCTGAGCCGCCAAGCTCGCCGCGGCTGCTGTGGCCGTCGCTACCCCCGCCGTGATCGCTGTCGTCGACGCCGCCCCCATGGTCGGGATTGCCAACGGCTCCCGGCTCTTCAGAACTTGGGTTAGCACCTCCTGCATCGTCGCTGCCAGGGCTCCGCAGATGTTATCAGCCACACTCTTGCCCATTTCTTCAATAGAAGCCTTGATTTGGTCGCTCATGGCTTCGATTGCTCCGATCGAGCCCTTAGAGGCCTCGGCTGCCCTCACAGTCACCTCTGTCAAGCTCTCCAACGATGCTGCCACCGCATCGTACTTGCTCGTCATCACATCCTTGACTGTCACCACCTCCTTGAGCTGGCGCGGCGGTTGATGCTTGTCCGCAGGGTTCGACATCTTCAGACTGCAGTATTTCTTCAGAGAATCGGCACACCAGCCAGGCTCTGATACCACTGAAAGAGCGCGGATCTAGGTGTGCGATTGAGGATCATGATTGGTACGAGAATTAGGGATTTGGGGTGAGGTAGAATTTGGGAATTAGGGTTGAGAGAAGAGGAATCCGGTCACCTGGGTGGTGGCCGACGGGTTGGAGAGGGAATAGGGGGGTTCGGCAATGAGAGAGGGAGAGAGAGCTTTAGGGAATAATTCTGTTGTTATTACTTAACCCTCACTTAGACCTAACACAGCATATATATAAACCGACTAATTCCCTATAGCTACCCAAAGACTTAACCTAATCGATTTAACCCCAATAGTTCCCGAAATAGCCGACATAACATAAACGTCCAAATAACAAATAAACACTCAATTAATGACTATCTAACCGTGACATGCCAACTTTTTTTATCGATCGATCTCTTACAGTGATTTTGTCTCGTATTTGTACAATAAAGGTACAATAGTTGTTCTCCTAGTGGCCATTAATTAGCTGTGTAACCCCCATCTACAGCAATAACTTGGCCAGAAATGTAAGAGGCTGCTGGCAGACAAAGAAATGCCACCAACGATGACACCTCCTTTGGCTCCGCAAGTCTACTGATCGGAGTCCTCTCCAAGAGATGAGCATATTCTTTCCAAACTTCCGGGTCCTGAAAGCCAATTGAGGCGAGAAATATAAGATCAGAGACAAAAATGCCCGGCCTCATAAACACACACACAAGCAAGCAGCCATGAAAGATTTATGGAGGTGCGGAGAAACATTAGTTACATACGGGTGGGAGGATGCCAGTCTTGGTTCCAGAAGGGGCAACCGCATTTGCCCGGATGTTGTCTTTGGCCCATTCACTGGCCAAGTTCTTGGCCAATTGGTTGATTCCAGCTGCTTAACAAACAAACAAACAGTAGTGTCGAATACAAGGAAGGAAGGAAGGAAGGAAGATGGTTATATGTTGGGTTGGGTACCTTTGGTTGCTGCGTAACCCGATAGAAAAGGAAGAGCCACCAACCCGGCAATGGAAGAGATAAACACAATGCTTCCATTTCCAGATGCTTTCAACATAGGATATGCCAACTGCGACAAATAGAAAGGTGACTCCAAATTTGTCGCCATCACAGTTGAGTAGTCTTCCACGGACCAATCTAGCGTCTTTTTATACGCCGTGGTTCCTGCGTTGCTCACCTAAATATATAAACAGATGAATAATTTTAGTAACTTAAATTCAACTAGTTTTGTTTTGTTTCGTTTCGTTTGTACAGTATCGAAATATTTAATCAAAGGAGTTTGTGTTTTTGGAAATCTCATGACTCATTATATCAAATACAATTCCATTTAAGCACAGCAACTCATGATCAAATTATTGAGACGGATTAATTTTCTAAGGAACGGTAACAATGACATAATTAATCAGGAACTCACGAGGATATTAAGCTTCCCGTCGAAAATGGAAGACACCATCTCCATCAAGTTTTGCCGGTCTGAAGTGCAAGTCAAGTCACAGACGGAGGCGGTGACTTGAAACCCTTTGTCCTTCCATTCAAGCAGCCTCTGGTCGATGTCTTGCTGGTTTCGGGAACATGTATGGACCCTGGCCCCGAATCCAGCAAGTTCCTCCACAATTGCAAGCTTTCATATAAATTACCATCACCATCATCATGGTCATCATATCGACAGCAAAGAAAAGAACAGAAAAGAGAAAAAAATGCTTGAAGTTATGAAATTACCCAATGCCTCTGCTGCCGCCAGTGACAAGGGCTGTCATGCCCTTGAGAGACCACCTCCCTTCTTGCATCTTCACTCTGGATCCAGATACTTTTGATTTGTTGCACGAAGTCTCACGTTTATATACACAAGATTTCCGCTACAAGGCCGTCTGATGGAGTCCATTGGGAAGGAAGGATATATCGACAATGTCTGCACCCACGCCTGTCATTGTTTAATATGCTTGCAGCCGCTGACTGCAAATTCAAGAGAGCAGATAGAGGTGGGGAGTGAATGTGGACCTCGACGGGCGCTAAAAGACGACGACCAACGGGTATTGCTATTGCTCTATGCAATGGATTCAATCCACACATTTCACATACTGAAGGTCGAGTCAACATTTTCGCCTTTGCACTCCTCAATTTGTTGCTGCCGAGGTATATATAGATGCATCATTCATGCATATGCCCGCAGCCCAACTTGTTCGTACCATTTGGACTCGCCAAATTTTTACCGTCACACAATTTGCTCTGTTATTTTAGTTTCATATATTACGTGCAACGGTTTGATTCGGTCTAGAACCCATGACTGAATCGAGATAGAAGAACCAAAACACGCACTTAGTCAGTCCAGCTACCGCCACTACCATGACCATCACTGGATCTTTCACGAGAATTCTTCATTCATTTACCCTTAATGAGTTGAACTATGCGGCTTGGCGGCCTTCAATGGTGGCGGCGCTTGTAAGCGATGGCAAAAACAGATAGGGTTATTGATGAATTTTACTACAACAGATCAAATGCCAGATTGGGCTTGCTGCGTCCCTTGCCTTGAGTCTGCATTTTGAGTTCAGAAAAGACCACCCGAATCACATAAAGTGATCCCTTTTCTCGAAAATTTCAATATACCAAGAGACTGCATGTTATTCTTCACAAACCAATGTAGAAGTAACACAGCCGAGAGCTAAGGCAGAGGAGGGAATACTCGCGAATGGGGAGACAGAACAGCTAGCTGGATGTACTTTTTCGGATTGTTGGGATCAACCACCCATTGAAGTTCACTCATGTTGGGCGTCTCCACAAACGCCATCGTAAATTCCCCCATCTTCTTTATCCTTCCCCTCCTCCCTGCCTTCAGATTCATCTTGTTGCCGTCCCCGCTATTGGAGAAGATCCCCTTCTCCAATCTGATAATGTCTCCAGCCTCAAAAGCATCACAGTCCTCGCCCCATAGCTCCAAGTGCACGGCCGCAGTCTCATCAGCCACCAGCGCCATGCACGTCTTGCTTTCCCCTTTTATCTTAATTCTGCTTTTCTCCAACAATATGAACATTGTGGTTATGTTGTTCTGAGCGGCAGGGACAATGTCTTTTAGATGAATGGCGGCATCCATGCTTCCCAATTGTTCACTCTTTATCTTACTCCCCTGAACCTGCCTGTTACTAACAACAAGCGAAACTAATGTATGGGTTCATCTACATCCAGTCCAGCCTTCTATCGAACACCTAAAGGGAAAGTGTCAGTCAGGCACGACATGACGACATTACACACCTCAAGGAACACATAATCGAGATGCTTATATGGCCACACAGTTGAGAAATTTTGAACGAACATTCATCACACAATCAAAGACAGAAAGCTTATGGAAACGGAAAGCATTCATGATCGGCTGGAGATGGGAAACCTTAAATACTGATGATAGAACACTAAACCATCTTTCTTCATCTCAAATTCTAACCACCAAAACTTCGCCCAAGAGCCCTAACTTCCAATTTCAGGAAATTACATCAAGTTTAATGGAGGAATACCTCCATCAACAGATGAAAATGGCTCAACCCTTCTTCCGGTCAGCTTCTCCTTTTCATCTTCCTCCTCCGTTACTTCTCTTTCTCTGTTTCTTTTCCCGAGTTCCACTACAGAAGCTGGGAAGGGACAGCGTCTGGAGGAATGCGGGGGAGGTGGCTTTAGCTTGGGATTAATACGGACGGGATCATGCATTCAGCTTCATAAGAATTGGGCCGGTACTTCCCCATTTCATTTCATGAAGGGAAATACGGGCTCTGGGTCTGGGGCCCAGAGTTGTTCGGATTGGCTTACTCTTGCTACCGAAGATGGCAAGATATGTGGGCTCCTCCTGCCCATTTGGGACATATTAATCTGCTATGCGGGGAGACGCCTCAGCCGGACTTAAATCAGGTGACGGAGGCTGAGAAACGGTGCGGTCTGGTCAATACTAGACTATATATATGATTTAGAGGTGTTCAAACGGATTGGTTATCGTGGTAACCATATTAATCGGAAGTATTTGGTTAATTTGGTTTGGTTAATTTGGATAATTGGTTTAGTTTGGTTAAACAATTTAGCTTATTTGGTTTAGGTGGTTTGGTTTGGTTTCAACACTGCTAACCAATGAAAACAATTAACCAATTAATGATACACCTAATATACAAAATTATTTATACTTTCATGTAACCAATCAAACCAAACTTTCGTGATTCCCTATTTTATTTCCATGTGCACAACAAACCAAAGCATTATGGGTCAAAAAAATAAACGGGTCTACCTATTTACTAAACCAAAACATTTTGGACAATTATTAGACTTTAGGATTACGTACAATACTATGCAAGCCACCTCAAACTATGTATAGTTTAAGTGTTTTGTAGGAGAGCTTAACTTCCTGATGAGTGGTATTGGTATGTATTTAATATTTATGTTAAGGGTTTGTTGTAAGCTAACTATATTAGGTGCAGAGATGATGAATGATGAATTAACTCGAATGATGATGATATCATGGATGGTTAATCTTATTATTATTGCTTATATATAATGATAGTTTATGATAGTAATAACATATGGTTATGTTTTATTAAGTAATAGGATAATTGTTTTCATGCAATGTTATGTTATTTGGTTAATCCGATTATCCGATTAATCAAACTAATTAAACTTTGGTTTGGTTAATTTGGACGGTTTGGTTAAGACATTTTATTCCATGGTTAATGAAATTTAGTCTTAATTGGTTTGGTGAAGTATAGACCACAGACCAGACCACAAACTATACGGTCCGGTCCAGACCATGCCTATGCGGTCTGGTTCGGTCGGTCTGGTCCAGATAGACCACACCCAACGAAAAAATGAATAATTTGTTTAGTCAACCACACAAAAAATTGAACCAATAACCAAGAAAAATAATTGTTATTTGCCTTAACACATTAATCCTAACATGCATGAATAATTTTGATACCCTAAATCTTAGTACATACAAAATAAAAGCATCCCAACTTGCACCATAACGTCATAAACATTAACATAATGTCATATGGAGACACAATTATCTCTACTCTCTGGTTAAATGTGGTTGTGAATGAAGGAGGGACGAGATTCACAAAACTAGGGTTGAGACTTGGGTGTAGTTGTGGGAGTTGGGAGAGTGGTCGAATACGCTTTTAACACGTATTGACAAGTCAGTTGGGTCCACGGTTTGGTCCGGTAAACCGCGGTCTAGACCAGAACATACCAAAAAATCAAAACATAAAATAATACAGACCATGGACCTGACCAGACCATACTTAACGGTCTACGGTCCGGTCCAAACTGTGCGGTACGGTTTGGACGACGGTTTTCCTAACGGCCTGGTCTATTTTCCCAGCCCTAGCGGACAAGGTCATATTTTGGGTTACTCCAGTGATGACAACCACCACCTGATCCATTACTTGGTCGGCAATAGAGTGAGGCGAGACATGGTTATTACTTCAATTTTGTTCGTCCTATTTTTGACTTGTTCTACCTTAATTTGTGTCGATATTTAATTATATTATCCTATTTTTACTCATCTTAAATAATCTTTTCACCCAATCCTCATCCTTCCTCATCCTCAAACTAATATAAGGAGGTTCTCCTTCGTTGACTATTCCATTCTATTTTTCCTGACTTCTGCGCAATCTTAGGAAGGATTCCTTTGTCATTTTACAATTTTTATTTTTAATTATGAAAACAGGCTTCTTGGGTTTCTTTTCGGTGTTTGTGGTATGAATGTGTTTTGGTCTTGAAAGCTTTTTGTTTTTGTTTTTCGGTCCTTAATTTAGAACTTGGGTTTCATTTGTCTATGTGGGCCTGATGCTTTGATTTAGAATAAAGCCAAATATGAAAAGGGTATACGGCAACATTTTATGTTAGAGAGTGTTATAAGATTTAGCAGAATTTTCTTCTAGCAACTTGAGTTGTTGGGACCAACTGGTTCTTGACATGGTATCAGAGCTGGTTTGTTCTTGAGGTCACGTGTTCAAGTCCTCATGACCCCCAATATTAACCGTTGTCTTCAAGCACATGGTATCAAAACTTGTTTGGCCAAGTGGTCATGTGTTCGAATCTCCACGACCCCCAATATTAACAGTTGATTAAAACACAAGGTATTAGCTAAGTTTTTCAAAATTTTAAAATTTTTAGTCAAAATTTTCGAAATACAAAGCAGGGTTAATATATTTTTATGACCCAAAATTTTAACAAATTAAACATCCTGACCAATTTTTCGATCTATAACATCGTGCCCTCAACTATGTATCAGAGTTACGAAATTGGCAAGACAAGAGATTTGAGCGTTATCTTAGACGGTCAAACGCGTTGACTAACGGTCAACGCACCACGTCACTGGCAAGTCAGCACAGACCACTTAAATTTTTTTAAAATAAAAACGGGAGTTCCTTTTTTTCTTCTTTTGCTCAAAATAAAAAAATAAATGTAATAGGAAAAAAAATCCAAATTTTTAAGTGGTTTGTGCTTATTTGGCAGTGACATGGCGCGTTGACCGTTAGTCAACGCGTTTGACTGTCCAAGACAACGGTCAAATCTCGGGTCTAGCCAATTTCGAAACTTTGATGCATAGTTGAGGCCACGATGTTATAGATCGAAAAGATTGGCCAGGATGTTTAATTTGTGAAAATTTCGGGCCAAACAAATATATTAACCCTACAAAGTATTAACCAAACATTGGCTCCCTGTTACCAGTTTTATTATTAATGTTGACATGGCAACATGATATTGGGTTGGCCAAACACACGTGGAGGTCAAACCACTTAAAAATCCAAAATTTTAAGTGGTTTGTGCTGATTTGGCAGTGACATGGCGCGTTGACCGTTAGTCAAAGCGTTTGACCGTCCAAGATAACAGTCAAATCTCGGGTCTGGCCAATTTCGAAACTTTGATGCATAGTTGAGGCCACGTTGTTATAGATCGAAAAGATTGGCCAGGATGTTTAATTTGTGAAAAGTTCGGGCCAAACAAATAGATTAACCCTACAAAGTATTAACCAAACATTAGCTCCCTGTTACCAGTTTTATTATTAATGTTGACATGGCAACATGATATTTGGTTGGAAAACACACGTGGAGGTCAACCTTCCAAAACTTTAGTATTTTCATTTTGATAAAGCTACAAAATTATTAGCAATAACAAAAAATGATTAATATTTTAATAAGTTACAATAGATTTGGCTAATACTTTGTATTTTGAAAGGTTCGAGTAATAATTTGGAATGTTGAAAGTTTTGGCTAATAAATTGTATTTATCCAAACAACTAAACAATGTTCTAATTCTATCTTTAAAAATTGAATGTAAGTACATATTTTAATTACCATATTCTATACATCTTATAATTTAGGGTTATAGGTATAATATGCTCCTCTACTATGACGTTTTTACAAACATGCCCTTATACTATTTTTTACATCAAACATACCCCTGTACTTTGTAAAAATGATCACACATGCCTTTTTGTTTAAATTTTCAACCAAAAACCGTTAACCAAGGTGGAACTTTGGTTTGGGAGGCACAAATGTCTAAAATATCCCTAATATTTTCACTTTAGAATTTTTTTTGTTCTTTTGTATAGACAAATAATTCAAATAATTTCACTTGAAGAGACCCAGAGAAATAAAACGGGAGAAAAAATTGACATTTTCGCTCCCATTTGCCGATGTCGGGTCTTCTAAATCTCGGTTCAACCATGATTGAAGATTTTATCAATGAAATCTTAACAGAAGGGCATGTTTGATAATTTTTTCAAAGTACAGGGGCATGTTTGTTGTAAAAAATAGTAGAGGGGTATGTTTGATAAAACGTCATAGTAGAGGGGCATATTATATCTATAAACCTATATTTTAATGTTTGTTCATGCCATAGTGATTGGCAAATGATTGTAGAAAAACATGGTATCCCTCATACTCATTTATTAGGATTCCTAACTGAGAAAGATAAATTATATGAAGCAATTGCAAATTTTATGTTTCATGGTCTATGTGGCATTTAAGGACCGAAATCTTAATGTACATCTAAATATACAGTATGTTCTAAATGTTTTCTCCGGGGCATCCGCGGGCAAACAACTCATGGTGGCAATGGTTTGTCATGTGTCAGCCTCAGGAGAACAACTAATTATTCATGGTGAATATATGGTCTCACTCGATAATTGATGCATTGTTTCTTATGAAAGATACATATTGTTACGATTTCAAACTTATATAATACCGGTGATAGCAAAAGAAAGGAAATCACGGAAAATGATTATAAATTGGATGAGGAAAATGATGCTTTGTATTTTAAAGTATTTTACAATTGGTATTTTAGTTTGATGGATCACAAGAGTAGAAAGAAGAGACTATTGGAATACAAGATAAGATGGAATGATAATTGATATAGAGGTGTTACTAATGGAGATGAACACACTGTTATTGATGGAGATGATGATGATTTTCATGGTGTAGAAAATGCAAATAACGTCAACAAAATAATTATAGAAGTGTCATTTGAACAAGCTTTTAGGAGTCTGCTCCTTGGTTTGTGATCGGATTTTAGTAGATGAATTTTTGAAAATACTATGAAGTCAATTATTTTGAATGTTTCCAATTACTAAATGATTTGGATTCTCTTATGCTATCAAAGAAAAAT